ATGCGTAGTTGTTGCTACGGTTTCCCATTTCAGGTGAGTTGTCGACTGGTTCGAGTTTGATACTTGGATCGAGGGGCATCCCAACTGAATTTGCATCTGTAAGGCCATACCTTGCAAGAATCGCTTCAATATATTTCATTTGGGAAATGTGTGACTCCCCTTTTTCTCGATCACGATCAATTTTGATGCCGACAATTTTGCTTGGATCACCCAGGTCAGTGACTTCAAACATTTTTTGTAACTCACATTTCAGTTTCTCCATTAGCACTGTACTATCCGTAAACAGGAGTAGGTCATCAACCCACACGGTAATTATTTCTGTTCCGTCTCCTGTTTTTCTGATGTATGCGCATGGGTCGCTATACAGCCTATTAAATCCCTTGGCCTCAAGCTGTTTATTTAGCTCAATATTCCATTCACGACCCGATTGTTTGAGGCCGTACAATGTTTTTATTAGATGGCACACTCTCGCTGTCCTGTCTTCAAATCCTTCCGGTTGTCTCATGTAGACTTCTTCTTTTAGGATACCGTTTAGGTAAGCTCCTTTCACGTCCATCTGCTGTATATCCCAGTCTTCTGATACAGCCAATGCTAGTATCGTGCGGATTGTCTCAAGACGTACGACGGGTGAGAATGTGTCATCGTAGTCCATTCCCGGTACCTGTGAGTACCCTTTCACTACTAGTTGTGCTTTATGTTTAACGAGCTCCCCATCTTTATTGTACTTTCGCACTAGAACCCACTTGTTTCCTATAGGTATTCGTGAATCTGGAGGGTCAACTAACTCCCAGGTTCCCATAGTATCAAGTTGTTCCAGTTCGGTGTTCATAGCCTTCTCCCACTGTGGCCAATCTGGGGATGTCTTCGCTTCTTTTAGCAACTTTGGGTCATCCGGTGCAATACTGCTCTCATTGAACGCAGCAAATATCATTTCAGCTGCTGATGATGTAACCTCCCCTTCGTCAGGATCATCAACTAGTTCTGGTGGCAGATCATTTAGCACTCGATAATTGTGCTTTATTTTTGTTCTGGTGCTTCTTCGTGGTTCGTCAGGCACAATTTCGTCCTGTTCTCGCTTCCGTTTGAGATTAACACTTGATTCACCAGTTTTACTGGTCTGCCCGCCATCGAATCTTCCAGCATCTTCGTCAGATTGTGGTGTGTCAATCTCTCCCCACTCCCCCTCACACTGCATATCTAACGTGATTTTTTGTTGGGGTTTCTCTAGTAGGAAGTGATAATTACGTGATGATTTAACTTGTTTTGTGCGCACATCGTAATATTTTACGGCTTTCGGCCCATCCAGGAAGCCGACAAATGTATGTTTTTCAGATTTCACTTCAAATTTTGATATATTCTGACCGTCTCTTAATATCCATACAGGTACACCAAATTCCTGTAGGTGAGATACATTTGGTCGTGTTCCTGACCATTTTTCTTCAGGTGTATACTCTTCGAGTGCTCGTGTATGCGCTCAATTGCATAAATATGCTGCGTGAGTCACCGCTTCTGGCCATAGGAATTTAGGTAAGTCGCGAGCTATTAGCATTGCTCGTGCCAACTCAACTAATGTTCTATTGAAGCGTTCTGCTACACCATTTTGCGAGGGAGAATATGGTGCAGTTGTTTCTAACTCTATCCCTTTTTGCTGACACCAATTTTTAGTGCGTTATTTATATATTCTGTACCGTTATCGGTGCAAATATGTTTGGGGAGTTTTTCCCAGTGTCGCTCGACATAGGATAGGTATTCTTTCACCTTTTCAGTAGTTTCGTCCTTCGTTTTCATATATTTGATGACACACCTTCTTGTGCAGTCATCAACAAAACTAATATAATATCTCGCACCTGTTATATCTGTTGTTCGAGCTGGTCCCCAAACATCTGTATGTGTTTGTTCACCTGGTACTCGAGCTCTATTTTCAGCTTGATTTGGGAATGGGTTTCGAGAGTGTTTGGCTTCGATGCACGCCTCACACTTTGGAATAGGTGAATTTTGATCTACGTCAAAGCCATCTACTAACTGTTGTTTTGCTAGTCGTTGTAATCCTGTGACACCAATATGTCCATAGCGTTTATGCCACTCCTCCCAAGTAAGTGAGTCATTTGCTTTATTTGCCGACTCGATTTGGGGCTGAATGGTCTTGGCGTCTAGGATATATAATCTATTTATACGGCGTCCGGTTGCTATAGTGCGTCAGTTCTGATCGAGCAATGTGACTTGTCCATTGTCAAATCAGGCTCTTCCTCCTTGCTCGTCAAGCCGACTGATTGATATGAGATTATTTGCTGCTGTTGGTACATGCAGTACGTCTCTCAATTGTACCATCAGTTCTTTGTCTTTGACTCGTGTTTTGATTTTTACAGATCCATGGCCTAGTGCTTCAATTGGTACATTTCCGATTCCGTTTATGGTCCCGCCACTTATCGGACGGTACTCTTCAAATATGGTTTGTTGGCTCACAATGTGGGAAGTAGTGGCTGTATCAGCCACCCACGAGTAAAAGGAAACACGCTCTTTGGCGTCTTCATTCATAGATACATTCTTGGTTACAAAAGCCTTATCCTCATCCATAGGCTCGTCTTCCTGCGGATCTCTCGCAATATTGGCACGCTCTTTCTGCTGACGTGGCTTTTGGGATGATGGTCCCGTTTTCCCCCAGCAGTCTTTAGTCTCGTGTCCGAACTTTCCACAAGACATACACTTTGGCTTGCCCTTGAACCGGCAATCATCTGTGGCGTGATTATTATGTCCACACACATTACACTTTGCTTGGCTCTTAGGCATCTCCACATGCTTCTCAATCTTCCTTTTCTTTCCGCTCCTCTCAGCCTTGGCATAGAACCCCTTTTCTTGGGTGTCCTCGCCTTTGCGACGTTTATACTCGTCAATGATGATGGAGATTAACTCCTGGGAAGTATATCCTTTGATTTTATCGGATTCAATTTTTTCGGCATGCGCCCCTAAATAGGACGCAGTCCAAGTTCCCCACGATTTCAGTAACGACATTACGAGAATGGCTTTAAACTCTGCGTCTGGTATCTCGCACCCCATGGTGTCGAGTTGGTTACGCTTATTCACCATCTCAGTAACGTGTTCCGTAATATTGCAGCCTTCTTCGGCTTGCATAGCATAAAAGGTGCGTTTCGCTATTAACGCACTTGACTGACTCCTCGTCTCATGGATTGTCTTTAGATTCTCCCATGCCTCCTTTATGGTCTTCGCACGTGACACATGGACCACTTTATCATCCTTGATATTGTTCAAGATGAGTGTCCATGCCACATAGTCCTGTTTATCCCAGTATTCGACCTCATCCTTGTCTGTCGTGGGCCTTTTACAGGTCCCATTGATGTGCCCATGGACTCCGTGAAGGTTGAGGATAGTTTCAATCCTTTCCTTCCACGTGATCCAATTTATGTCATTTAGGGCCTCGATTTTATATGACGTGACAGGTCCAAGGTTAATGGCAGGATGCAAAAAGCTATGAGCATCAACATCCATGCTTGGGTTTGGGTTGTTAGGATCAGTCATTTTAAATAGGAGTATTTGCACAGCATGTTTTGGTTATTTCTGATTTCTGAGGGTCGATATGCGATACGACAGGGCTCGTAACCTTTTGAGATCACGATAGATACGATATTGATTGTTTCACAAGCAAGAGTGAAAAATATTAGACTTAGAGGCACACGACGGTGAGCGCTAAGATTGCTTAATTATTCGGAAATGTCCGCGCAGATTATATATACTTTGTATTACCGCTGGGTTATGTAATCTCCGCTGTGGCTGACGTGTTCTAGGTTTGTTCAACCTCGACACGCAGTCGTGATAAGTGATGGGGTTTACTGGTGTATCAGTAGAGTCAACAAGGGAGAAGCACACAGCTTCTGTGATCCTGGTCTAGGTTGGGTCTAGAGCTGTCATGCTGTACTGTGCAGTTTAGTCATGTGCCAGTGATCATGTGTTGTTTGTCACGTGTTGTGATGCAGTTGTGATGGTGATGTTTTGGTGGAGACAACAGGGGTTGAAGAGTCCCTGTAACATAAGGTAAGTGACATAAGTAAGAAAAACCCCAAAAATTAACTGGTGGTTTTCCTAATGGATCTCTGAGCAGTCATCACTTGTACCCTGATGACATACTATGTGCATACCCAGATACCCTGTCATGTCCTTCAAGCAGACACACATTAGAGACCAACTGGAGACAAACCATCCACTTTATCATGCACTGATATTCCTCTGTCCTACACCATTGATGTCATTTCATCTTCTCCCACCCCTATTAAGTACTTGCATGGATGCTCGGGTGTTCAATAGAATCTTACAATCTTATGCAGGACTGCAACTCCTGAATCTTTGTTGATGTGCAGAAAGCCCATATGATGATATCATGCTGGCATTTTATTCTACACTTCCAATAATATCATCCTGATGGACAGCACCCAAGGGTTTCTCTTGCCAACTGATTTTCAGCAGGTGGAATTTTCTCACCAGCACCAGGGTGAGAGAGAAGGTGCAAGACCAATCCCAATAATTGCTCCGTCCGCCCGATATCTGAAATCACGCCAATCCATTCAAATACCAACAAAAATAATTAACATACGAAGTGCTGTGGCCCGCCTATGTCATTTTCTTGGAGACCAATACTCATGTACCATCACTTCCCTATCATATATTGCAACAAATGTTCGTCCTCTAGAATTCTTCGTGACACTCGAGCTCAAATACCAAACCCATAAAAGCAAAGTACCTGCATTTGTTAATCACGATCTGATAAATAGCCAGTGTAGGTCAAGTGTAGGTACTGGCGCCGCACCTGTACATCCAAACAACTTGACTCTATAATGAAAATTGTTTATGTTGTAAATAGGAATGGTTGATGCGGCAGGATTCTCTAGCAATTCGGGATTAAAAAAGCATTTGAGAAATGTGCAAAGGATACTGCAACGGCTGATGAACGTGTATGTCCAAAGCTGTGGGGCTGGTGAGTTTATTCAATCGCCAGATAGAGATTTGGTTATGAGCGATCTTCTTGCTGTTGTTTGCAGCAAAAAGACCGCACATAACCAAATCAAACGTGCGTACTCGGGAGCTCAAGCGATGTCCAGGACCAGATGAGATTCCGGACCTTGAAACTTCAGCAGAAAACCAACGAGGTAGCCCTGCTCAAACGAACATAGGGACGGCTTTCGCAGGTCCCAGTGGTGCACCATACGATCGCGCGACCCCGACAAAAGCGCATGTATGTTCCAAGCGAGAGCACTGATGCGTTGCGTGTTATATGTGATGCTCGTAGAGTACTTATGAGCAACGTAGATGTGCATTCTACCTGAGAGCATTCCAATACCAAGCATCGTGCCTTATTAAAGAGTCGAATCAAGTAGAATAAAAAGGAAATAACCACACACCTCCTGTACCCACGACACCGATGCATTGTACTTACCATATACACATAGCTCCCTAGCCCCACGCCGACATCCGTCCTGTTACAGACCAAATGAAAATTGTCTGCCAAGTCTAGGTCATCAAGTACTACGCGGTAGGGCGTCCTGCAAACACTGCGTAGCTCGACTCCAGGAATTGATGGGACTGTTGCAACCTAAAACACTTGTTACAACTAACGACACGACGAGGGAGAGTGAGAAGAGGCAAAAGCCTTCCTTTCCCCCTAATCGTCGATCAAACATGCCAATGACGCAGTAAAGCCATGATGTCGAGGAGGCGTACGGAGCGCGTGCCACGGCCCACTGAGGTCGGCCGCTCGCCCAATTAGACTTATATAAAAAATATTAAACTCAATTAAACATATTAAGCTTACGTCAGCCTCAACCTCTGAGTGGAAACACAATTCGTAAAGTACACCATTTAGGTCTGACGTCGCTGGTATACGTAGTCTACCACATCCTCCACGTCAAACGGAGCAATGGCGACGACGACAGTGGCCCAAGTTGTTGTAGAGGAAGGCAAGCTCCTCAGCGAGTCCCTCAGCACTGTCAAAATACAGGTCGGCCAGATGAAGAGGCATTTGGTGAGTTCCTGCGCAGCAAGACATTGAAGTCTGCACGTCATAATTCACTAACAATATTATACTCAACTCGGTTCACAAACAGGATAACGATGATATCATGGACGCGCTGAAAAGTGCTAGCTTGATGCTGGCCGAACTTCGGACGTCATCCTTATCCCCAAAGCAATACTACGAACTCTGTGCGCACGAACAATCCCTTCCTCTTAATTCTTCTCCGAACTTAATTTTTGGGTATAGATATGGCAGTTTTTGACGCTCTGCGACACCTCTCCAACTATCTTTACGACGCTCACACCCAGTCACGGCATCATCTCGCAGACCTCTACGAACTTGTTCAATATGCCGGCAACATCGTACCCCGATTATACCTTATGATCACCGTCGGAGCTGTCTACATGTCTATTTCAGACGCTCCGGTCAAGGAAATCATGAAAGATATGATGGAAATGTCTCGCGGCATCTTGCACCCCATACGAGGCCTGTTCTTGAGGCACTATCTGAGTGGACAGACGAGAGACCATTTGCCTATCGGCGCTGATACAGGGTGCGTTTCTATTTCATCTTACCTCGAATGCTCATGCTCACAGTATTCCAGACCTATCGGAAACCTTGAAGATTCTATTTCGTTCGTGCTGACTAACTTCATCGAGATGAACAAGCTTTGGGTACGCCTCCAACATCAAGGCCATTCCAGAGATCGCGAAAAGCGCGAGATGGAACGACGCGACCTCCGTATCCTCGTCGGCACGAACCTCGTCCGCCTCTCCCAACTCGACGGCGTTGACCTCGAGATGTACCAGACCAGCATTCTCCCCGCAATCCTAGAACAAGTCGTCAACTGCAAAGATGTGATCGCACAAGAATATTTGATGGAGGTTGTCATTCAGGTACAGTCACCCATTCCCAATTCCTATCATATCACAGAAGACTAACGGCCATCAAAAGGTATTTACAGACGAGTTCCATTTACATACACTCGGTCCGTTCCTTTCTGCTACAGCCCAACTTCACCCAAAGGTGAACATCAAACTTATTGTTATTGCGCTCATCGACCGGCTTGCTGCGTACGCTGCTCGTGAGGCTGAGAGTGAAGATCCTGAAGAGACGAAACGCCAGGAAGAGGCTGCTGCTCGCAGACTTGCGGAAAAGGTCAAAGTCCAGAAGGCTCGAGCGCGCGAGAATGGTGGTGCAACAGTTGCACCACCTCCGGCAGAGGAAGCATGGGATAGCGCTGTTGCTGATGCGGAGAAGCAGATGGCTCAGATGGAAGTTGGTGGAGCGACGACGAATGGCGTTTCGACGGAGGAGATGAATGGTGGCAAGGAGAAGGAAGGATTGCCCGTCCGGAAGTTCAGGGGCGTTCCGGAAAATGTCCAATTATTCGAGGTGTTCTGGAAGCAAGTAGTCGAGCTTATCAAAGTGAGTTTTCAATGTATGATACTATGCGGGGTTCTCACCCATCTTCTGTAGGCACGGCCGGACTTGTCGATACAGGACATTACCGCTCTGCTTGTATCCCTCACCAACCTATCGTTAAGTTGTTATCCTGACAGGTTAGAATACGTCGACCAAATCCTTGGCTTTGCGCATGACAAAATCAAGGAGTTCTCAGAAAGGCATGTTACACGTCTTCATGACCGCCTCGTACACTAATCAAACTCTTCAGCCCCGACCTCCATGCACCGCAGACAGCTGCAAACCTCGCAGCTCTCCTGGTCGCACCTATAAATTCCTACCAATCCGTCCTCACGCTCCTGGCCATTCCCCACTACGTTCCTCTACTCTCCCAGCAATTATTCTCGACCCGACGATCGATCGCCCACTCAGTTATCTCGAGCGTACTCAAAAACGAAACGATCATCGAGGCGCAGGACGATGTCGACGGGGTCCTGGAGCTTTGTCATGTCTTGATCAAGGATCAAGGCGATTCCGTTGCACAACAGAGCAGTGCTGCTGGTGCAAAGGAAGTCAGGAGGCAGGGCCCTTATCATACGGAGAGGGAGGATCTAGCAGAGGAACAAGGCTGGGTTGCAAGAATGGTGCATCTGTTCCGTGCGGACTCGCTGGATATTCAATTCGAAGTGCGAAATTTTGTCTGTATCGGTGTTTCCTAGACTAATGTTGTCCTGCGCAGCTGTTACAAACGGCTCGGAAACATCTCGAAGCTGGCGGCGAGCGTATGCGCTACACGTTCCCTGCGCTCATCACCTCCAGTATCAAGTTGTGTAGACGGTATAAAAACTGTGAACATCTGGTATTGCTGTTTTATCATTTTTGTATTCCGCTGCTCACCGTCTGCAGGAGGAGGGCTGGCAAGACAAGGTCAACACGATACTCAAATTCGTTCGACAATGCACCTCCATCCTTGCCACCCAAGTCGATGCCCCAGCACTCGCGCTGAGGCTATTCCTCCTTGCAGCACAGATCGCATCTGAATGTGGTTCCGGATTCGAGGATCTTGCCTACGATTTCTACGTGCAAGCGTTCTCTGTTTACGAAGACAGTATTTCGGAAAGCAGAGCTCAGCTTGCTGCTATCACCCTTATTATCGGCACCCTTCAAGGCGCGAGGGTGTTTAATATCGATGGGTATGATACGTTAATAACGAAGGCTGCTTTGCATGGTGCAAGGCTGTTGAAGAAGCAACATCAGGCTACAGCGGTGCATGCCGCTAGCCATCTGTGGTGGCAAGAGGCTGTGGAAGATGAGGGCGAAGGCGAGGCGGATGGACCTGCTGTGAAGGAGTCTGAGAAGGCTGCTTTACCCCCTAGGGAGGATGGTGAAGGTGTTAAGGCCGTTCGTAGCTCTCAACTTTCACTGAAATACGGTCGCTGATTGACTGTCTAGTATCCGCATCAGGACAGTAAACGTGTACTGGAATGCCTTCAGAAGTCGTTGCGCATAGCAAACTCTGCCACAGAGGAGATAGTCACAGTTCAGCTTTATTGCGACACCCTTGATCAATATTTGTATTATTTCGACCGGGGCGCGCCTGCAGTGAGTACTCGTCCTGGTTTAGTAGCAACAATAATATATTCACCTTCGTATCAGATTGCACCTAAGTTTATAGTTTCGCTCGTCGAACTCATCGCCTCCTCCATCGACACAATTACTTCGCCCTCGTCATCCTCGTCATATCTCCACCCTTCACAAAGAATAGAAGGTGTCGCGACACCCGACATGATCACTCGACACTTCCGCAATACCCTTGCCTACATCCACGGGAAGAAAACGGCGGAGAACCCAGGTCAATGGGACGAAGTCGAGGTTGTTGGCGCATTCCTCAAGATGGACATCACGCGGTAGCGTGATCGTGCGTTCGTTTATACGACGCGGTACTTATCTTAATGCCAGGTTGAAGATTGGATCATTCGCGTGCTCTGTTCTAACTTGCTGTTGTTGTCGTTTTAGCTACTATGTACTTGTGACAACTTCTTCTGGTGCCATTAAAGCATCATGGTTTTTGTATATAATACCTCACGATTTCCACCTTTATGCGGGCGCCTTTAAATCCCTGGTTAAATCTGCTTGGATTTGGAGGCTCCCAATCTGAATTTGTGAAAATGTCTTACGTAATACGATAATCTTTCTTTCCTTTGCACGCATACCGAACGCCGTACTCATGTCAAAACGCAAAAATCAGGCCGATCAAGAAGATCCCGACAGTGACTCGGAAGACGTATGATTCTATATGAGATTCTCCGTGATAATCTATAGTGACCAGCTCTCAGTAGACTCCGACGTTCATCGATGTAGATTTCGACTTTTTTAACGTCAACCCAACGATCGACTATCATGCAATCAAGCGCCTCCTCGATCAGCTCTTTGGCGTAGACGCAGAGGGTCTTAGCACGCATGCTCTTGCGGACTTGGTGCTTTCACAGGCTGACGTAGGAACCACGATCAAGACTGATGGAGAGGAGAGCGATCCATATGCATTCTTGAGCGTTTTAAATATCGGCGTGCACAGCGTGAGTAGCATTTGTATTTTCTCTCTCATCTTCTGAGTTCAGGATCACTATTAGGACAATGTGTCGATAAAGTTGCTCGTAGAGTACATCCTGGCAAAATCGAAAGCGGACAATGCCTTTCATGGATCACTATCGACGATACTGCGTGATCCGCAGAGTCAAGTAGGACTCGTTCTATGCGAAAGGCTTATCAACATGCCTGTGCCTGTGATACCACCCATGTATCGTATGCTCGTGGACGAGATCAAGGACGCAGTTGAAGAGGTGAGCCATCGATTTCTATGGAGTTCCTATATGAACCGTGGGCCTTATGATCGACCTCAGAACGAACCCTTCAATTTCACCCATTTGATTTTCATATCACGTGTATACAAGCTTACTCCCGATGAGGAGGAAGCGATGGCTATCGCCCAACAACAATCAGCCAAGGGGTCAAAAAGACAAAAATCCCAAAATTCAAATGGGGCTACGAACGAGAGAAGCGCGGATGGAGTATATCCGTTCCACCCGGAGGACGAAGAAATTCGAAAGGTGTGCCCCCTCAATTGACGTGCTTTGAAATTGGTTTGACATGTTTTTCTAGTTTGCCTCCCATCATCTGATCTTTCCGTATTCAAATGCACAACCGCGTGATGCGGAGTCGTTTGGGTTAGATACGGCTGGACAGTTAATGCTTGTGCCAGCAGCGCGACTCGCGGAGCTGACAAGAGTACTCGGGGATGTGTTCCAGCCACATGGGAATGCGTAGGCCAGCGGATTGTCGCCATTTTGTTTTTGCCATTATGCCATCGATCTTGAAACGTGGTTGGTTGTGAAGACATTTTGATCGATGAGACGGCACCCGTATCTATTGATTTTCAGACTCCTCGAGTTAATGATTGGGTTTCGAGGGTTCAAATCAGAGTTCATCAGAATTCGACCACAAGATTACAACTCTTGGATGGAATTAGATGCCGATGATGGCGTGTGCAAGTGCGGTGATTATCCGTGTTCCGATCAAGAAACATTCAGCACCATCGGAAAACAGAAACATTGATGGTCTTATTGTATGTGGACGGAAAAAAATTGGACATTTTGCGAGCGGTGGCGAGGCTAGCGTGTTCCGCTATCTGTTATGCATAATCTTCCCCTTTGTACTCCCCATTCATTTACCAGATTCCTTGCTGCTCCGACCCCGTTCACCCACCTGCTCCGAACCTGTTTGCTGTACTGCCTCCGATTTATCCTTCTCTTCACTCAATTGAGCAAGCTTTGACCACGGCTTGAACGTTTTCGATGAAATACTCTCATAGAATGCGCCTTGTTTCTCCTCGAACTTCTGACGAAGAATCAGGCCATGGCGCGCGAGCCGGAGCAGGACAGCTACAAATTGAAATGCTTGAAGTGGATCGGTGATGTTGTAATGTCGCACATTGCGTTCCATAATGTAGATTTTCTACACAACTGGTGAGTTGTCTCTATAACGGGGATTGAAGCAGCGTATACCTCGCCTTTCTTCCATGCCATTGTGACTGCACCACGTGGCCCATTGACAACTAGTCCAAAGACAGGCTCGTTTGTGATGCCGAGCGCGGAAAGGAAGGTAATTGCAGAAACTAGGTAGGTCCTCATCTGATTTGTGGCTTGCAAGATCATGGATGTGTCATTCTTCTTGTACTCAGAGAGCAGCACCGGGAGGAGTAGGTCTCTGGGCTCGGGCCAGGACATCTGCCCAGAAAATACATCTGTCGGTAGAGTGCCATCAGGATGGACGAGAAATAGATCATGCAATGGGTTCTGCTCGTGTTTTTTCTTCTTGGATTCCGATACATGAGAGGAGGGCACCTGAAGATGTCTATCGGATATGGACTTGTGACTGGGACCAACGAGCTCTTTAGTCTGGGAGGAAGGTTCACTCTTGGCCAGTACGGAGTCATCCTTCTCCGCCTGTGAACCTCGAATTAGGATGAAAGTGTCGAGAAAGTTTTTTCGCTCTTTCTCTTTGCTATTACGTAGGCGTTGAAGCATCGCAGTAGTGGCCCCAGAACATGGGACAACAAGGACGGCATCACATTTGGCTGTCCGTGGTTCTATGCAGGAATGACCTGCAATCTTTGCAGGTGCATCACGACGGCCCGCGATATCGCCAGAAAATTGAGCCGCTTGTGTGATCGCCGCAACAGCTTGCTTCACAATATCCAAGTCAGACTGGTTGGTGCTACGCACAGCAGCACGCTGGGCGGTACACAAAAAAAGGTAATCTGTAGTGAGAGACTCTGCGCGTTCTGCAAAGAACGTGTCATCAGCAGCAAGGTTGCGAGGGGAGTTCAAGTATCGCTCTAACCTACATGAATGGTTAGAATGGAAATGGTCTGATATATAAACAACGCACAGGACATCCCGTTGACCGGGAACAGGTTGGAAGAAGTTGAGGAGTAAGGCATCCCACTCGTGGCGCCATTCAGTCTCGTTGGCGCCGTGTGATTTTGCTACACCATTACAATGGCGAGCGCCTTTTACGGCGTGCAACAACGCAGATAGCTGAACTGAAATGAACTCGACATCCGACGAAGGAATGTCGATTGCGCTCGACTGACTGATATGATTGGCGGCTTTGTCGAATAGTTCTGATCGGACATCCAATACCGAGCTATCAATTGTAGACTCCGAGAGCTGCGCACGACATACTGAGAATGTGCGTAAAAGCAATCCTGCGGACTCACTATGGGGTGCACCTCGTCCGACCAGGTAAATGCCGTCATTTCATCATAGGTTTTAACCATGTCATTAATCCCCGTTTCGTGCTGTAGTTCCCCGGGGAGTGGGATGCGACCTACAGTGAAGGCCATCCTTTCGAATAGCCAATTGGACATGGTTAAATCATCCACAAGGCCAGCATCGCTTTTGCGGGCGAGGCTGGCGGCGGGAAACAGTCAATGAACAGTAGTCGACCAAGAAGCAGGCTTCATACCTCGAGTTTGAGATTTGGCTAGGTGCTCGTGATGAAGTCGAAGAAGATCTCTTCTTGACGTCGTGTACTGGTTGGCGAGATAGACTGGATGACCTCTGCGAGGAGTCCTTCAAGGACGGTGGTCGCGATGACCTTCCTCTGTAGGTAAAGTGAAATCACGTACAGGGTAATTACAAGACCTGGATTTACCGTTTCATCTCGCCAGTCGCGTATGTCTCCTTGAGTAGCGGATGGGGACTAAGGCTTTGAGTTAGTTATGCATTGATAACAGTGTCACACGTCGGGTTATTGACCGGGTATTTGCGCCATCCACCTGTTCCTCCTCGATGATACTGTGAAGGTCTTGAGGACTCATATTCTCACAAGGTACAAGCGCAGGATCCGAGAGCGGGGACGGGGTACAAGGAGTAGATGAAGATGATGCCTCGCTAACGGACGATTGAAATTCGGACTCGCCATTAATAAGAGAAACCCGCACCTAGAACTCGTCTGCACATGTACATGGTGGGTCCAAGACGCCACCCGTTCGTCCAGTCGTCCCCCAAACTGAGTTTCAAAGTCGGGTAAATCAGATCTCCAGTGCAACGGAGTCAGAGAATCGACTGCTTCTATCGATGTGGCACCCTTGATATCTTCAAAATGACTCCGCAACCCCAAAACGAACTGCGCGAGGCAGGTGGCAGAATTGGTGTCAGTAAAGTCAAAAACTCCCACCAAGGGATTTAAATGATCATCCGCTGCTAAAGCGAGATGCGCTACAGGCTTCAGGAAGGGTCAACATGAAACTTATGGATTAATTGATTTCGGACTTGCCATGCGACCTTCCTCTGATTGATCGGAGTCGAGCCACCCGAAGATAGCGGTGGCAATCGTACCTGTGCTCGAACAGCACAGGCCGACCACGGGCTGAAGAATCCCCCACACATGTCTCTGGTAAAGAGCGCTGGAAAGCAGGGGCACGATATTACGGGCGTCGGCGACTAGTAAGACTGGCACCACTGCAGAAAGGCATCTGCCTCGACCTGGGAGCATATGCGCTTGCAAGGGCAGGTCGAGTGAGTCGAGTGAACCATTGCATGAGTCAGAGTCTGCGGAATACATCAGTTCTTCTTCGTCTTCTTCGCTTCCTGAGCTGGTGCTATATCTGTCTGAATGAGTTCTAGGTGCAGAGAAGATTGCATGTGCAGCAAGAAGGGTCGCATGCCCGTCAATCAAATTTGACGGCTGACTTGCCACGTTCTGAGCTTGTGGCATAACGAATGGTGCATCTTCACTGGAGGGATATTGAAACGTTAGTTCAATGCGTCACGGATGTATGACTTACAGAATTAGAACTTCCGACGATAGTGTTCTTACCAACGCATGAAGAAGTTGAGACCAAAGGGGAACAGTAGACCTCTCGCCACCATAGCGAGGAAGCTCAGCAAGTGCGCTTAACCCTGCAGCTGTCGAATGAATCAAGCCCTGAAAATCCATTGCAGTAAATGAGCCCGGGGAAGGCGTTTCACGAGCCGAGAGTGACTCGGAGGGCTTCGGTGGCGACGCAAGACACTCCTCGCCGCCTGGCCGGTCTGCGTAATGCAACGGTGACAATAAGGAAGCGATGCCGCGCACTGGTTCTGGCCAGCCTGTAGGCTGCGTCACGTAGTGTAAAACCTCGCCGAAAGCCATTACGAGTAAAGTGGTGTAGACTGGCGAGGCACTTGGTGGTTAGATCATAGAATTGGGTGAGTTACAGTACATACGTACTTACTAGCTTCAGTTACAGTATGCAATGATCCATTGATCGATGAAATGATCACAGTTTTGTCACGTGCCACCGTGGAACAACAAACTTATTTATCGTCCACCAATCATCCACCAATTGCAATTGCAATTAAAGTTTCGGTGACCGCACAGAATGACAAGAACGAGCTCGAGGCAAATGACAAGCTTAAGGGGCGCCAGAAGATTGAATTATGATATTGATAAGTAGGACAAAGCTTAAGCTTAAGTGACGAAGGGAATATGAACTGCTCGGAGAGTGCGGATGAAATACTGCGAGACATGCGAGATACAATGACTCATGCGAGAACGAGCAGAGGCTACAAGAAGTGTAGGGCACGTGAGATCTGACGCCCGTGTCACAAAGGAAGTATCATCAACTGCAAGGTTGCGAGCGAAGTCCAAATCTTGCTCTAACCTATATAAACAGTTGGAATGGAAATAACCTGAAATATGAACCATGCACAGCACATCCCGTTGACCAGAAACAGGTTGAAAGAAGTTGAGTAGCAAGGCATCTCACTCATGATGCCATTCAGTCACATTGGCGCCATACAACTTTGCTACACCATCACAGTCGCGAGCGCATTTTACAACGTGCAACAGCGCAGATATCCGAGCTGAAATAAATTTGACATCCGACGCAAGAATGTTGATTGCGCTTGACTGACGGATGTGATTGGCGGCCGTGGCGACTAGTTCTGATCGGACATCCAACAACGAGCTATCAATTGTGGAATATGAGAGCTGCGCGCGACATACTGAGAATTTGTGTGAAAGTAATCCTGAAGACTCACTATGGTTTGCACCTCGTCCAACCAGGTAAATGCCGTCATTTCATTATAGGTTTTGACCATTTCGTTAATGCCAGACTCGTGATGTGGTTCCTTAGGGAGTGAGATGCAACCCACGGTGAAAGTCATCCGTTTGAACAGCCAATTGTATATGTTTAAATCATCCACTAGAGCGGCGAGTCTGGTGGCGGGAAACGGTCATCGAATAGTAGTCAACCAAGAAGCAGGCTCCATACGTCGAATTTGAGATTTGGCTTGATGCACGTGACGAAGTCGAAGAAGACCTCCTCTTAACTTCTAGTACTGGTTGACGAGAGGGACTAGATGACCTCTGCGATGAGTCCTTCAAGGACAGTCAGTGGTCGAGACGACCTTCCTGTGCAGGCAAAGTGAAATCACGTACAGGGTAATTACAAAGCCTGGACTCGCCGTCTCCTCTCGCCCGTTACGCGCGTCTCCTTGGACAGCCGATAGGCACTAAGGCTTCGAGCTAGTCATGCGTTGGTAGGAGTGACACACGTCGAGTTATTGGCCGGGTACCACATTCGGGCTTGCCATGAATAACAAAAACCCGCACCTAGAACTCGTCTGCACGCATACGTGGTGGGTCCAGGACGTCAGAGAATCGACTGCTTCTATCGATGTGGCACCCCTGATATCTTCAAAATAATTCCGCAATCCCAAAATGAACTGCGCGAGGCAGATGGCGGAACTGGTGTCAGCGAAGTCAAACATTCCCATCAAGGGATATAAATGATAATCAGCTGCTAAAGCAAGATGCACTACAGGCTTCAGGAAGGGTCAACATAGAACTTATGGATCGATTGATTTCGGACTTGCCATGCGACCTTCCTCTGACTGGTCGGGGTCCAGCCACCCGAAGATAGCGGTGGCAATCGTACCTGTGCTCGAACAGCACAGGCCGACCACAGGCTGACAGATTCCCCACACGTATCTCTGGTAAAGAGCGCTGGAAAGAAGGGGGATAGTATTGCGGGCGTCGGCGACTAGTAAGACTGGCACCACCGCAGAAAGGCATCTGCCTCGACCTGGGAGCATGTGCGCTTACAAGAGCAAGTCGAGTGAGTCAAATGAACCATTGCACGACTCGGAGTCCGCGGAATACATCGATTCATCCTCGTCCCCCTCACTTCCTGAGCTGGTACTGTATCTGTGTAAATGAGCTCTAGGTATAGAAAAGATTGTATGTGCAGCCAGAAGGGTTGCATGTCCGTCAATCAAATTCGGCGGCTGACTTGGCACGTTCTGAGCCCGTAGCATGACGAACGGTGCATCTTCGCTGGAGGTATATTTGAACGTTAGTTCAATGCGTCACGAATATGTAACTTACAGAATTAGAACTTCCGAGTACAGTGTTTTGACCAGTGCACGGATAAGTTGAGACCAAGGGGAACAGTAGACCTCTCGCCACCGTGACGAGGAAGCTCAGCAAGTGCGCTTAACCCTGCAGCTGTTGAATGAATCAAGCCCTGAAAATCCATTGCAGTGTATGACCCCGGAACAGGCGCTCCACGAGCAGAGAGTGGCTCGGAGGGCTTCGAGGTGACGCAAGACACTCGTCTCCAGCTGGTTGGTCGGTTTGTTTGGTTGCTGTGCAACGGTGCTAACAAGGAAGCCATGCCTCGCACTGGTTCTGGCCAAGCTGCAGGCTGCGTCACATAGTGTAGTAGAACCTCGCCCAAAGCCATTACAAGTCAAGCGGTGTAAACTGGCAACTTGGTGGTTAGTTCTTAGTGTAGAATCAGGTAAGTACTACGTACTGAGCCTTTAGGTTCAGGTCCTGGTTCCAGGAATGATGAATCAGTAAGTATACTGCATGATCGACGGAAATTCTTAATTGATGGGCATTGGGCGGCCCGTAAGTCCTACTTCCCCCGGCCCCCGTTGTTTAGCTCGATCCATCGTGCTGTCAACGCCTCCCGACGCCCACGCCTGTTAGTACTTTTGCTTCAAATCTGCGCTTGTTATAGGCTACTAGCCTTGAGCAGTGTTTGGAGGGAAATTGAACTGATGTGCATTCTTAACAGCGAAGCGAGCAACGCCTTCGGAACAACCTTCTTGCCGCCTTTTCGTCCGTGCTGGAAACCGACTCGGACGCGAAGCGAAAGTCTCGTAAATCGCGGCGGCCTGAGCCTATAAAATTCCTGCATACTATGGCTTTGCCTCATTCGCATTAACAAGCTCCACAATGTTCACTCCCCGCTTCATCATCCTTGCGCTGCTGAGCAGCCTCAGCTTACTTGCTAGCGCCAACGCGTCAACATGTGCAAAGTGCCCAGACACACTGGATGTCAACGGTGTCACCTACAAGTTATCCAGGAGTAGCCCAGGCTTCAGCAACGGGCAAACACTTTGCATGTGCGTCACACGCGCATCTTCACCGAACTAAGTGATTGATGGTGCGGCAGCTACAATACTACGAAAGGCTACGCAGAGGTCTGCGACTATGACGTACGTGCTTTCTGGATGCTGTGCAGCTCATGGTTCTCGGTTGACATGCTAGCGATGATCAGGCCAAAGGCAATTTGGCGGGTGGGTATGAGTCGTGTCCGAGCTCGTCAAGGAAGGATGGGTGCAAAACATGATGCGAAGGGGAGGGGTAACGAGACGCAGAACTGGGAGAAAGTAACGCTTCTGCACTTAGAATCTGCAGACAGCAGAGCGCATGCCAGATGATCATCTGTTATAGAATTGACATCATATCAGTTGCATATCACTTACCCCTCATTACGACGCTGAGAGTCGACTTCAATCATTACCAGTCCAGCTTTGCGGCCAGTGTCATCAATCTCGATTCCGACGGGCTAGCTGATGTACTCGCCAACAAGGATTAGGCCAGCAGCACCAAGGAACACCGTTGAACTCGCCGGCAAGAACTTGGTCTTAACAGGCAGATTAGGGCAGATTGGGGCATATGTCGGGGTGGCACAGTGTCTATAGCAATAGATCTGCCCGTGATTCAATGAAATGCGCAGTTTTGCAGTGCCAGTATTCGCCGGTAGATGTACTCACACGAAAAGCACGGGAGGATTCGAGGGCGAGGCAAAGTGCACCGTATTTGCGATACAGGCGGCATGGAGGTTCAGCATGTTTGTAACGATGAGAGTCATATGAATGAGGTATCCACCTACTTATGCATGGCAAGTGGTAACCAAGAGTGTCATGGTGCCGACGAATACCAAGTGGCGCGGCATGACCTTTCTAACCTATTGATCCAAAACCCATCGACTCTCCCAGTAATTCTGAAGCACCTCATTGTGGGACTCGTACGCCTTGCCCAGTGACAAAACTCCAGCTGATAACCGACCTACTCATCAAGGAATTACGGGAATGTCAGGTCACTGCAGTAACAGTGTGCCGCGCATAGAGTGCTGATACGCGATCGTTGGGATAGTAAACGATTGTCGGTAAGAAGTCTTGTTCTCGTCGGAGGGGCTTGGATCGTATCGAGTGCAGTGATATAGACGGTTAACCGTCGTTGACTTGCGCATCTTGATCGTCCACTCTTCTGCGCTTTGTCGTGGTTCCGTCCATAGGTTCATCAACATCATTGTTAGGCTTTTCATGGCGAGTAACATAGCATCCTAAGGCCTCGCTCCAAACGTAGTCGTGAGACAAAATTTTGGTCAGAGTCTTGAATGCGGCAACGTTCGCAAAGGGCACGTTCGTTCGTGGGTCTAGATAGTTCGCAGGCGTCCCAGTGATTGGACAAGTTCGAACAGGTCGACCTACAGCGAGAGTTAGGCGAGCAAGAAAACCGAACGACAAAAGGAACTTGCTCAATGGGCGTTGTTTTCCTGTGAACACACGGACTTCGTCCCATTTGACCTCATCACCAAACATAGCTGACATGGTATCTTTCCATGGCGGTTTGGCTGCTGACGGTTCTTGTGAGAGCTCATGCACAACATAGTTCCTGCAAACATTATCGACTCTTTCTTGCGCTGGAGGCAGAGCTGGTGGGGGCTGCACGGGGTAATAATAATATGATGGTTGAGATGGTATGTTTGCAGATGGTGTTGATGGTTGCAGTTGCGGTTGCGATGTAGCGGCCAAGCCTTGTGACGCCGCAGACGAAGCTTCTGGCGCCTGGATGGCATTTGGTTGTGCTGGAACGTATGCACGAAAAGGGGAATGGTAGGTCTGTGTCCCAGAATATGAAGTTCCTTGATGTGGATTGTATACGAAACCGTACTGCGATGGATATTGTGCAGGAGACGGTGCAGGAGGCATGACTTCAACCTTGACTTGTTCTTTCCGGCTAATCCATCGCAACACCGGACCCTCAAGGGCAGTTCGAACTACACGAGCACGAGCACGTTTCTCTTCTTCCAGTTTGAGGTAATCTCGGTGCTCAATAATATTTCCCTCCTCCGTATCGAGGGCACGCGCGATAAGTTCATCCTGCGTTGGTGCCTTGGTGACAATTCGTGCCTTCTTCGGAATGGTGGCCTGCACGAGGGACAGTGAAGTGCATGGCGCATGAAGTTAGATGAGGACTTACCCGCTTCTCTTCTGCATCCTTCATTCTATTGACGGTCGCCGAGGTATTCATGATTGTATGTGATCTCTGACTTTGCCGCTGTCTTGTACCACCCTCAATGACTTCTCCTGTCTCTGCATTAACGGCGACACCAAGAGATACGCGTCTTTTGAGCTTCTGAGCCTCCTTGTTAGGTTTCTTCCCTGCTGGAGCCTCTGCTTGGGGGTGAAAGGTGACCTTCTGGCGAGCATGAGCGGCAGCGGTAGCTTTCTCCACCTTTACACGCGCGCTCTAGAAAACCGTGAGCATATTTAGAGACAACATGTCGACAATACATACCCTCCTTGCTCTCTTTTCCTCATCCTCGACAGCCTTTTCACCTGTATCAACATCTTCTGCAGCTGCCTCCTCATCCGTACTCGCAAAATCCGATTCAAAGATATCCTCCTCATCTATATGCAGCATAAGAGATATCTATCAGAATTTAGCGCATTGTATTCACCTTTGTCATTCACGAAGTCAATGTCTTCCTCAGCCTCGTTAATTTCCTCGACGGCAAGCTCAGCCAGGGCTGCTTCCATCCTGATGATATTCAGTCAGGGTATCAGTAACATTATTGTACAAACCTGTTTCCCGCCGTGCTTCTCTTCGACCGACGTGATACTAATGTCTCCTCTTCAGCCATATTGGATGATGTATTACCGCAGCGATTGACGAACGAGCAGAAGTAGCAGGTCGACCAAGAAAGGAAGGCAAAGGCTTTCGAATTCAACTAGAGCAAACAACCCGTAGCCAACTTGAATCTGGCACTGCTAAATTTCACTCTCAACCTCATTCAAGATGCCTCGGAAGCCCAAGTCCATTCCAGGCCCTTCTCGCCTGTCTATTATACTGAAGGACCTTAACAAGGAGCCACGACTTTCCTTGACCGGTCTGCGGGGAATAAGCTTGACGATGGCTGCAAGAAACGATCATTTTGGTGCACGGTAGGCTTTTTCTACGGACAACTCTTTTACACGCGTTCCTAAGGCAGACATAGGCATTTTGTGAAGGAAGAGCTCACACGCATACGTTATGCCAATCCACAACTCAATGTTGAGGTGAACAAGCGTCCGAAGACGATACAAGACCTTTGGACGCCTGAGATGGTCGTCGAGTTTGGTAAGTTAATTTCTTCGTTGAATTTGCTTGACGTTCTGACGCGTTTCTTTTCCCCCTTTTCACGACCGTTCTCGTAAAATGCAGAGGACGGAGCCAAGACCACCATCGACATGTCAAATAAATGGTCCACATCCATTGCCAAAGAATTAATGGACCTTGCTGGCGGTGACTCATGGAAAGAGTACAAGGCGGCCGCTCAAGCTGCTGGTCTGCCCATTCTCCCAGGCGAGGAGAATGAACGCTTAGCAGCTGCTAAGAAACGGACACCGAAGTCGAACCCACGTAGCCCAGAGAATCTGGAGGCCATGGTGGAAAATATGTTGTCGTCACCTGAGCGTCCGAAGACTGGAGCTGCTGCCATACTACCATAGCTTAATGATATTCTCGCTTCATCAATTAGACATGCACGTGTTACCCAATAACAGATACACTAAAGACACGTAGTACTGGTGGAATTGACATAGGGGGTGGTCCGATCATCCAGCGAACCATCCTGCGATCAAGATAACCATCCCAATCCCGAATACAATTGCCGATAAATCATCAAGAATTGCGCCTCCCATCTGGATGTAGCGCAGGCCATTCGTAATGATGGATGGGAATGGCGGGGGTAAATGAGGCAGAGCTAGCGCCAACAAAGTTGGGGGCCGCACTTGGTTCTGTGGCAGTGCAGTCAGCTCAACATTCAGTCTTAACCTGAGGAGACTTACATTTCCCATGAATATACGTATCGAGTGGAGCATGACTTGCACAGTCATGAAAGCCCACATGAACGGCTATATGTCGATCAGCGAGAATATTCTAAGATACGACTAAGAAACACTGACCACGAACTGCACTCCCCAGCCTTCTATGCTAGAGCTTCTCCAGGCAAGCTCTGCCCAACGTTTCCAGAAAGTATCAGACACACCACCACTGCGCTCAACGAAAGTTTGAGGCTCTTTGAAAAGCACAAAAAATGCCAGAATACACCATGCACACAGGATGTGCAGCAAGGGCGTGAACTTCTGCACGATCGAGGGTGGCTTTGCGGGCGCGAGGGGAGCGGGTACTTTTCCAGCAGCGCCGCCACGAGACGGGTCCATTTGCTGCAAGGAATTCATTATAGCGGCCAAAGGATCATCTGGAGAAGGTGCAGTTGCTCCATTGGAGGCCGCAGCCGAGATCTGAGGTTGAGGAAATGGTGGAGCATTGGCTGCGCCACCCATAAGAGCTTGGAGGAACTGGCTCTGTTGCTCCTCTGACCAAACGGAAGGGTTGGGTGCTGCTCCACCAAGACCTACATCCCCAAAAGAGTATGGAGGAGGCATATCTGAGGGAGGCATGGTCGGCTCCTCGCCCACAAAACTAGCAGTAGCACCTCTTGGAGAGTTATCTATTGCACAATAAATACTATACATGTCGTGTCGAATACAAGTCACTCACCAGCATTCAAATAAGGAGCATCTTCTCCGCGTGCAGACGAGGTCAGTTTCTTCAGGCGGTCAGTTCCTCTGTTGAGAATAGCTTTGCGGCGAGCTTCTGAGCGAGATGTAGCTGACATCGTGACGGTCGTTACTTTTGAATGCAGGTGGTATGCTGTCTGCCTTTTGACGATTGACGTGGTAGGCAAAAACGTTGGGCGTGCGTAATAATAGGAACCGGACCTAACACGTTTTGGGAATGAGGCTGATCTTTCTCCGAAACATTTGGAACTTCGTCTTGCTTCTAACCACTTCCTCTGTAGTTTTTTTCGCTGACCATCATGTCCAGGCAGGATAAAGCCACGACCGAGAGAAATGCTAAAATTCTCAAAGAACTGGTCAAGCAGTCAGACAATAAGGTCTGCGCAGATTGCAAGCGGAACGGTAAGTCTTGTCCCCAATGCCCATCTCCCAGCTTAATTACTCTCGAACCAGATCCTCGTTGGGCATCATGGAATTTGTGCGTTTTGCATTTCCGCTCCTGCTTTGGTCTGACCCTGTTTTATAGAGGTGTATTCTTGTGCATCCGCTGTTCAGGCATCCATCGTGGCATGGGAACGCATATCAGCCGCGTGAAGTCTGTCGATCTCGATATCTGGACACCGGAACAGATGGAGGTAAGTCCCTGCTACTCATGTAGTCTCTCCGCTTGCTCAACGTTGTTTATCACGCAGTCGATCCAGAAATGGGGGAATCGTCGTGCCAACTTGTACTGGGAATCCCATCTGAAGTCAGGTCATATCCCCCCAGACCAGTACGCGATTATAGCCCTTCCGTTCGAACACTAGTTCACGATTTATTATAGTAAAATGGACTCATTCATACGTTCAAAATATGAATCCCGGAGATGGGCACTTGATGGACCCCCGCCGTCCGACCCATCAGTTCTTGATGGTGAAACCCCAAATGGGCATACTTCACAAGCTGTTGAGCAGCCTCCCCCTGCGGCCACACAATCCTCGCGGCCATCTCATGTAGCGAATACCAGTATCTCTGGTGCAAGACCAGCATCTCCAGCTCTTCAGACCCACATAACAACACGACAGCCTCAATCCCGTCAGCTGCTCTCCTCCGCAATCGCTGGCAGAGCAATTAACACTGAAGTCCCCGTCATTGCCTCACCGACATCTGCTGCACCTCAGCCAACATTGGCACAGCCCGCCCCTCCACCTCAAGATGACCTATTCTCACTGGACTTTCATGCACCCGCTCAAAAGACAGCCTCAGCACCGCCATCTAAAGATATGAAATCAGACATCATGTCCCTCTTTTCCTCTGCTCCCGCCGTCGCCCCTAGTACTCCCAACCTGTCAACAAGTGCCAATGCTTTCGGCGCCTTTGTATCCCCTTCTCAGCCACAATCAGCTTGGAACCAGCTTGGAAGCGCTCCTCAGACACAACCTCAGCCCACAAGCATGATGGGGTCCAGTGGCACTAGTTTGTGGGGCGCTTCTTCTGGCTGGAATGCTACTCCCGTTGCGCCCCCTCAAAATACCCTATGGGGGAGCTCAGGAACTCCTACGGCACAACAGCCTCAGCCTCAATTAAGCTCGTTTAACGCAAATGACATCTGGGGGGCATCTGTCTCCGCACCCACCAACTCCAACAACCTTTTCGGCACTTCTCAGGCGCAGCCCGTGCCGAAGAAGGAAGACGTATTCGGGGATCTGTGGGGCGACTTTAAGTAACATTGATTTTTCCCTAGATACAGTTTGATAGACGACGGTCTGTTATACATTATTCCCATGGGCCTTGGTTAACTCGATGTCCTGCACTGGTATTAGTTTCATTGATGAGGAACCTAGGTATCTCTTACCTGCTCAATAAGATCACGGGCGATGGGATGGAACGAACTCTTGTGCTCTTGATACGTGTCCTGCGCCATTGCCTTATCAACAGCAAACACCGCCCTAAATATTGGCCGACAGAACTTCATCCGGCCCTTGACCATCCCATCCTCGTCACCAACAACCCAACCCAACGCCTCTGTAGCATATTGCTCTGCCTTGGCAGATTTTGGATCAAGCAAAGCTACTTGGTAGAACCTCAGGCGGATCTCCGCATTGGGCGTATTCACCAGCCCGTAGAGGACACCAAGGTGATCAATATGCACTACTGGCAATGGGTCGAAGGATTGTAGTCGTTCAAGGAAAACAACTGATAAGGCGCGGTCAGCAATAAAGACCATGAAGGATGATACTCGTGCTCACCGATCTGATTGGCGTCCATCCCATCGATGTCGGCGGCGTCGAATTCGAATGGTTCTTTGGCTTTGCTCCACCTCTCAGCGAGCTTGTAGGATTGCTGTGCGAGGGTCATGTCGTATTCCATTGGCACAGGAAGGGTCACACCCGTTCCAAAAAGCCAGGCCTAGTTGACACAATCGTGAGCCGATTTATTGAATGGAAATAAATTGAAATACTTGCGTCCCAATCAATGCTTTTAAGCGCTTCAAGCTCGTCGTCCCCACCAAATTGCGTGTAGTAGCCAAAGAGGTGTTCCTTCCATATATCTGTGGTGATGCTTTTACCCATGAACGTCTTCACATAATCCTTCACGTATGGGAGGAACACATCTACACCGCCCAACGTTCGCTCTGAAAGCCCAAAAACGCCGTCAACATCCTGAATGGCCCCTTAGACTAAACGAGTACTGACCAATGTGGAGGAGGAAATTACCGCCCTTTTCGTATGGTATTCCGCTATAGGCATCGTCAGGGTTCTCACCCGTCTCAAAGTCAATCTGCAATTTCTGATACTTCTTGTTCCGCTCCTCGTAAAACTGGAGGTCATCGTAAAGCAATTTCGAACCGATCAAAAAAGAGAATCCACGGTGAGCAGGAGAGTGCAATATCTGCTGGAGGAGGCGCTCGATGTACGTCGTCCAACCTTCGTTGAGCCAAAAGTGTGACGCGTCTGCGTGTCTGCACAAGAATACCGGTCAAAATGAGGCAGAGAGAAAAGAGGGCGTTCTGACGTTATACCATTCCCGAAGTATGAGTGCGTGATCTCGTGAACGACGACGTCCACCAGTGTCCTGTCCCCAGTCAACAAAGCTGATATTGGGTCAGAAAGGTATCCCGAAAAGTTGCATGCACTGACTTGGCGTGACAAATGTCAAACAGGCATTTTCCTTGGTGTTCGTTAGGATTTGACCTGAGGGATGTAAAGGAACGCACCATGCCACCATAAGGGAATGACGGAGGCAAAACCAGGAGGTCATACACGCCAAAATGATATGGCATGCCAACGAGTTCCTCCTCTGCAGCCAAAAACCTATGCAAAGAATTCTCAAATGTCTCATAGATGCTGATCCTCTGAAAAGAACCTTGTCGTGTCCTCTTTGAATTCCCACCAGGCGTCATTGATAACGTCCGGCTCGGCCCATACTCCGCTCGTCCAGTCTTTCCCTTCGAGCTTTTCGAATGGGCGGTAACAAACGTTTCCTGACGCGATTGCAATCAAATAAGATGGTATTGGCACCGGCTGGATATCAAGCAGGTCAAGGTAAGGTTTAATGATCCTGTTGAGTACCACATACCTGGTTGTAAACGTAGGTGACTTCGTCCTGTCCAACAATCTTCCCGTCATGTACAGGCCCTTCCGCAGGCGGAGACACTCGGATAGCAGACATGAGTGCAGGAAGTACAGACGTGATCTTCGCTTCATATGTCTACCAAAGCTCTTAGTTACAAATCTCAACTGCAATACTTAGCAATGACTGACAACTTTGACCGATGGAGTATCTGAATATTTCGTTTGAGATGCTGAAATACATTATAAATCAAGTTCCGAAACTTGCCTTGACATGGCAAAAGACTTCTTGCATAGATCGGTTGGCACTGACTGAACAGGAAAGGATGGGTCTTGCCATGCGTTTGTCTTTCCAAATGTCCCAACAGCTTTAGTGGGAACATGGAGCAAGTTGTTCGATGAATACTAACGCTTTGTCGAGCCACTGCAATGCCTTGCATCCAGGCTCCGTTGTATTGTACTCGATCGTCACTTTTACCGACGATCCTACCTGCAGACCGGCAGGAAGCGGAATATACAACCCCGAGCCCATGACTTCATGCTTTTCTCCCAAGGAGTACTGCAAACTCGGACGTTATGGCACTTTGAACACGCACATCGAAGAGGAATGTTTGCGCACCTGAGCATCGCCAGACTCGCCCTCGACGTGCACGCGCTTGATCACGACATCCCACGTATCAAAGCTATATACATAAGTACTTGCCGCGTAACAGGGACAGGTAGGAAACACACATAACCTGCTTTACGTCGCTCTCGTGCACGGAAAGCTCGTGCGTGATGGACCCCTTGATCAATTTCTCGTGGAAGTCGATCGACCAGTTGAGTGAAAAGTGCTTTGTGCTGATCTGGTAATAGTTTGATTGAGATGTTGGGTCTTGGGCGCCCATCATAGTATTGCTGCCACGGTGAAATTCGAGTTGCAGTAAGCGAGAGAGGTGGACGACAAGTAGATTCCTATCCAATTGAGCGCCCTTCAAGAATTTATCTAAGGACCGTTGCCTCGAGGCTCGCCTAAGTATGTACGTGTTAATCTTATCTGATAGATGGGAATTAGATGGGAAGATAAGATGAGCATCGAAAACAAGGGCTACAGTGCAGCTACATTAGGCAAGCAAACTACGCCTTGAAGTCCGTCCTTAGTATCGCGACCGTCTCCCGTTCGCTCATTCCAATCTCAAGGCCAATGCAGTCACACATCTGGGGTAGCGAACGCCCGGCGGGTGGAGTGGAGTAGTACAAAACAATGACAGTTGAGCTACATCATTAGGCAGGCAATAAGTAGCAAGTCCTTCACGAGGTAAGTGGAAATGGCATGGAAGAAAATACAGTTCGAGTGTCCACAAAAAAAAAAGAAACATATTAAATGCAATCACAGGTTGGGTATGGTATGCATTCACAGAAAACCGTGTAAAAACGTGATGTTCATGTTGTCCTTGCAAGTTCAAAGCGAAGCAGGTTATGACCGAGGAGAAGACCAATAAATTCGGTCGTCAGTAGTCTGCGTACGAGCCCAACGCCTTCTCATGTGCCTCTAGAAAAAAGGCCTCAGCTTTCGCATAATTGAATTATGGATGGACAAACCTTGGGAAAATGAATGTCCGAGCTATCGGGACAGGAATCTTCGTCGTCAGTCTCTTCGATCTTACGCTTCCTGGTCGGAATTCTGATACGAAGGCCAGAGTGAACAACGTCGATCTGGTTCAAGAATTAGCGTGCTGAAGGATCATACGATTTATAGGACTTACGGGTGTCAAGGGAGAAGGAGAAAACGCGGAAGAAGCTGAAAGGAATCATTTAGTCACGAAAAATGCTACAAGTGTCTCGTCAAAGCTTACATGAACGTGAAGAGCACATATCTTCCATCTCGCATTCCTCAGGTAGTTCCCTTGTCCGCATGCGTGGCGCACCCGGAACAGGCATTCCATACTGCTCATGGCGGTATACATCGTTGTACAGGCTAGCAAGCGGTGGAATCCGAATGATCAGGCGCTCACGGGGCTGAGCGTAGGCGTCGGGCGACGATACGACGATGTCTGGAATGTCCAAGCCAAGTTTGTTGTGGGCTTCGGCAGCAGGCATATACAAGGGAAGCGTGATCGGCGAGGGACTCCGAGTGGTGTCGAGGATAGGAAGGGGCCTGACCGAAATAGCAGTCATAGGACAACCCTTAGCCTTTGCTATATCAACGCGCAAGCCAGACCAGAAGGCGTGGCGCTGTGCGTGATGTGTGCGCGTGAACTTTAAGCGACAGCGCAGTTCGAAAGCGATCTGGCTGTAACGCGCGTTGGCGTACCGTAGCTTGTAAGCAACTTCTGAGAGAGTTGCGTCTGATAGAGCAGGGTGGGAAGGCATCATACAGGGTGGCGGTGTTATTGAATAGAAGAAGTGGATTAGTGGAACGAGTGGCGCGTGATGGTAGAAGTGCAAATGATGGGCGTTTGACGTGGGCGCAAAAAGAAGGACAACAATCTATATCGTATGGCACCAGTCCAGTAAGTGTTAAGTCAATCAATAGCACGCCCGCGTGCAGAATGGAGACCGAGAAAAGACGGGAAAAATGAGGATTACGAAGAGGCTCGGGGATTTCATGGGTGAAGGAGTGGGTTCATATATAATCCAGAGTCCAGGGGCCAATACGTCAGATTAGCTTGGACTTCATGAAAGAACAAAGCTAAGCGCCGCTCCTTTTGGCGTGCCTTTATTGTGATTCAGACAGGTCAAAGCAACACATTAGTACGTGCCGTCAGGCGCAACGATGAGCACTAAGCAACTGACCTTTCTTCCAGCCAAAATTACGTCGGGCGTCTGCAAATGATAGTGAAAACAAAGCAATCGTTAGGGTCCGGCAAATGCATCGATACAGTGTGGGCGCACACATCCAGGTATGTTTGGACCGTGAGGCACAGTGACAAAAAGACTTTGTTCTAAAAGCAGTCGTTACTGCACCCGACCCGACGACGTGCAGGCGCCCAGGGCTATGCCATGCTAAAGTTTGTCCGAAACAGTAGACGGTTCACATCATCTCCAGGTCAAAGAGACGGTTTATAACTCTGCTAGGATCAAACTGTAACTCATGCCAACTCTCGCGCATAAAATCGGTGAGTTGATCGATTGGGCTCATCCGAGATAGAAAAAATGACCAACTCCTACCTAGGTTCTCTTCTCTTTTGTCCTCATTGCGGTACTCTGCTTAGTCCTCCAAAAGATAACGAGCAAATCGTTATCTGCGAACAATGCAGCTATGAGGAGCCAGCATCATGTGTGTATTCTTTGAGCCACACATATCATCATCTTAACCTTGATCTACCGCGTTTGGCAGCTTATGAGAATATCGAGATTACCTACTCGGTCACATCCTGAAGCATTCCCTTCAGCACTGAGACAGAAGCGCAAGACCCAAACGAAAATTCATCAGGGTAAAGTCTTACCCAAGGTGACCAGTATCATTGAATGTATAGACGGTATCATGGTTCCTTACACCTCTTTACAGGTGTCAGAAAAATGCCCATCTTGCGGACATCTGGAAGCTTATTACGAAGAGAAACAGGCAAGGAAGACTGTTATTACCGTTCACCCTGAGACTAAATCGTCCACGATCGCAGATGCGCAGCGCCGACGAAGGTTCCACAATTTTATACACAGTACGCTACCCCGCCATTCGCTGTCCCCAGTCTCATAAAATGCTTTCCAGTGTGTCTCTTGCAAACACGGCTGGCGTGTTAACAACTAGAGAAGAACGAGTAATGTTTTGGTGCGGGGGGTATATAATGGGTGATTGCGACTGTTAGAGCCTACACGTTCACTCCAACACTACAGAACAGGGCAACAACTCCAAAACCGCCGAGGACACTAGCTAGTGATGCCACCGCGGTCTCGCGTAGCGGGAACGTGTCTTTTGGTAGGCTGTGAACACGGGTATAAGGACACGTATTACAGAGATGTGTATGGCGACTTACGTTGAAAAGTAAAATGCAAGAGCGAAAGTTGATGTCAAGAGGATGAGAGCTATGGATGGAAGGAGAGACGCGGGCACATAAGGAGAGAATGCAGGCAGTGATTTATGTAGGGCCTGCTCAGCGTGGTTGAGACGTATCCATTATACAGTGGATGTCAAGGACGAACCTGTATTGCCTCGTAGTTGTCCATGGGTGCGACAGACGTTTGGCACGAGTTGTGAAATGGCCTTAAATGGAGAGCAAGCAGCTGCGGACTGGTGTCAGAAGTTGGACACACGGATATATGATTCTGGGCGATGGAGTACTCAAGGTAAGCTGACGTATTGTTGCCACCAAACACATGTCATCAAACCCATATCAACGCCGTATCCGCCCCAACTCTCTTTCTTCCTTACCACCGTCTCGACTGCCACCTAATCAGTTCCCTAGTAAATATTTCACGCCCCCCGAGGTCAGTGGTATTGACTTAGATATCGTTATTTCTGGGTTTGACGAGAAATCGTGTTTTCTGTTCCTCATTTATGCAGATGTCTGCAGCGCAAAAGGTTCAGCAGCACCCTGCTTTCGTCCAGGCACAAAACAAGGCGAATTATTACTTTCAACAGCTTGACAAGGAGGTTCGTATTGATTCTTCGGTTATACTTCTTCAAATAACATAAGCCCCTCAACAGCTCACGAAGTACCCAGTTTTGAACACATTCGAGCAGCGAACTCAGATCCCGAAGACCTATTTCGTCTGCTGCACTGTTTTGCTCCTCACCCTTTTCCACTTCGTCAACCCTCTTGCCGCGCCCGTTTCTAACCTCGTTGGTTGGGCCCTTCCCTGCTACCTCTCTTTCAAGGCGCTGGAGAGCCCCGGGCACCAAGATGACGTGCAGTGGCTCACATATTGGGTTGTTTTCGGGTTCTTCAACTTCCTCGAAAGCATTGCACTCAGAATGGTTCTTTACTACTTCCCATGGTATTTTGCATTCAAGACCGTGTTCATCCTCTGGCTGCAGCTCCCAACCTTCCGCGTAAGTCGCGAGATATAAATGGGTCCCGAGACGCAGGCGATTAATGTCTTCTCTTTAGGGTGCACAAACGACTTACGTCGTTGTGTTGAAGCCTGTGCTGTCAAACTTGTCCGGTTCGCGTGCCCTGGCGCCTACCGACACGGTGACAGCTCAGGGTCTGCGCGACCGTGTTGCTAGCGCTGATTCGGAGTGAGCTCAACGCCCTCGCCGCCGCCCTCTCCTCGGCTCTCGTTTCGCTCTGTTTAGTCAGCCTGGATGACCTTAGACATTATTTGCCTCGTTTCTATTGTCCGTGCTTCTGATCAGGCTTGAGGAGTAATTCCTTTTACGTCTCGATATGTTCTACTTCACGTATCTCTGCAAACCGTTATTGAGCTTTTTGTGCCTCATATCAGCACAGCGAAGGTGTCACGCGACAGACGCCTTATTGGATGTTAATTCTGTCATGGGAGTCGCCACGTCTCCGATCTCAATGCTCGGGACCGAGCGAGTGTTTAAATGATTTTGTTCGTATCTCATTCGACGCCAATGTCGGGCGCGAGGCCAAATTTTGAAACGTGGTCAGGTGTGGTAGAAGATTAAGAACCCGGTGCGATTTTGACAGACTGCGCTGTGATTTGGGACTATTTTTGCTCGTCTTGCCAACGTCTTGCTGTGAAAGCCTGTGACGTTGGTAAAACCTGGGTCTGTAATCCGCATTCAATTATTCATTACGAGAATCTTTCGGAATTCAGCGAATCACATCTTGCACACATTACCACTTTTGTTTACTTGTGGAGCTGGACAAACAAAAGGGTCCCGCCTGTTACGATACTTCGTCGGGCGAGATACCCCAGAATGGCACTGCTGATATGACTACTTATCACCGACTCATTATGGTATGTTTAACATCGTCTCTGTTACTGATCGTTCCAACATGAGCTCAGCATTAGTACTCGCAGGTTTCAACATGATCCGCTCAGGGCTAGCAACCTGGTCATTAGCGCGACGGCTTTCTCGTCCTCTCGAATGTTTGACTTTGATGATCTCAGGATGATCCGACCGATACTGTTCCCCAATCCCCAATGGCCAACCTATATAAGTGTTAGTGACTCGTGCTATGGCCTTGGATGACATTTGGGCAGACATAGTGACCCATTATTGCTTTATGGCTGCTGGAATGTGACGGCGGTTTCCAACCATGGTGAGAATGTTGTCCGAAGACAGTGCCGAATGAAAAAGTTGTGCAGTCCAGTGCCATTCTGGGGCATCTCGCCCGACGAAGTATCGTAACAGGCGGGACCCTTTTATTTGTCCAGCTCCACAAGTAAACAAAAGCGGTGAATGAACAAAAATGGATTCTGGTCTATCAATCTGAAGGTAGCTCTGTAATGCCTCTTTCAACCTACATTAATATTGCTTAAGGTGCCCGTGCCTCAGACTTCACACTAGAGTGCGGGGGTTCCACCCTTCAACAATAACACCGCCACCAGTGATCCAGTCCTGTGCTCTGGTGCAGGTGCACTGGTGATCACCATTGTGAAGCTCTCCCATTCTGGTTCACCTTAGGCTTCTGGACTTCGGCTCTGAAGCTAAGGATGAACGCTTTCGAGTCTTTCTTCAGTGGCAGGATGACATACCTGCCAGTTCTGTGCGACAGTGTGAGTCATTTAGTTTTATTTGTTTATATATTGTTACACTCAGCACTTGCTCAGACAAGTTCATTTCGATAAGAGTCGGACTGTCAGACCTTTGTTGATGCCTTCCCGAGGGGACCAATAGGTTTACAGATCTAGAGGAGGTGGTTCTGGGCCTCAGTCTGGTCGACGTGGCCGTTTCCTCGACGCGCCCTTTACATATGTGGTGGCACAGCCGCACCTGCTTCGTGCACTGCCTTTGTGGGCGCCTGTGTACATTCATGTGTACTGCCAGCCAGGTTACGGGTTCGCGAATGCCTTAATTTGTAACTTTGTCTTGTTGTGCTGTCAGCTGAGTAACCCTTCTCTTAGCGACAAATTCAGATGCGTGCCCTTGTAGTTCTCCAGGGTTTCGCATGCGATGCTATAGGTGCACACTGCGCAGATAGGCATCGCATCGATTCTTGGAACATGTGGCGCTTCCTTGGGTTATTTATTGGGCATATTCCTGTGCCCGACCTAAGTACAAAATCACCCCTTTGTCGACGTTCGAGTCTTCATCAACTTCCTCTTCTATGCATTCCAACGACCCATCTGATTGGTCCAATCGCAGCGGCTGGTGTGGTTTGTGGCGCAATTGCTCCCTCCGCCGCCCAAGGCAGAGAAACGCTTCGGGGTGTAAATCATGGCATCCAGATTGCCCCTGGTAAGCTGTTCTCTGTTTTCTCTGTGTTAATATCGTGCGACATATGTGTGATTTAGGATCGGCCCCTCCTCCATGGCGAAATGGCTTTGTACCACGGCATGTGTGGTGGGGGCCGACCTGGACCGACACCATCCGCAGACCTATGTTGCCAGCCAGACAACCTGACCACAGCGTGTGGTCTTACCCGAGTGGCAATTTGACATGGACTCCCCACTGGAATAGATATAACTACTTCCCCGCAACAGTTCAGTGGATCCCTGCCGCACTGCCTGCTATGCCATGGCCCCAGACAGAGGATGGACGCCCGAAATTTGCACCCTGGCTTGCTATAAATCCATTTCAACCAGCTATGCCCATGCTTCAGTGGGATATCCGCCAGAACCCCATTACAGCCAGGCTGACAACAGGCGCACATATTTCCACGGATCTGGGGCAAGTCTTGAGTTCTCCAGTGACGGATCCCCCGATCAGCATTATCGAAATTGCCATCCCAGCTTGTTCCATGGCCTATATGTGGAACGTCGTCAGGGTGCAAAGAACCGGCGCTATCAAAGTCCAAGATGTTCTTGACGCCATTTACGAATGGTTGCAGAGACCTCTTACTCGAGCGGAGATGGAACACATCGAACGTGTGAGCCCAGCTAGTGTCGAAGCAGTTTTGAGGGCTTTGCATGAGAGAGCTTCTACGAGTCCGACGTTGCATGGCTGGGAGTATCGACAAGGACCGCGGCGTATAGACTGTTTAGGAGACGTTCGTAGATGGATGGGATTAAGCTACTCTCCTACGGGGCAGGGTATGCAACTGGTTCTCAACCTTGGGACCATTTAACGACGATGATGTACTGTTCAACTTTTACTTATCCTTCGCTTGATATTTTTTCACTTCACGAATTCTATGATGAACTGTTCGCGCGTTTACGATCGGCACCCACGTTCTCGACACATTCTTGTTATCTATTTTTATTCCTAATAGTATTTGCAAACACTACATAGTGACCAATGCTCCCAGTCTGTGCCACGCACTGCTCTGCCAACAATCTACCTTACCCCTGACATCGTTACGAGACCGCTGTGATATTTCACCAGTTGTGTAGAAACATGATCTGCTACTGGTTGGTACCTACGATAGTAAGTTTTTCCTCGCTCACACATACTTGATGGACTCGCAAGTTCTGCCGGCGAGCGCTATAGATAAGCTTGCTACATCATGATCGCGCTGATGCTACTTATGGGGACGGGAGGCCATGCGCTCCTTCCCCGGGCCTACTACTAGTAAGCGAGGGAAAACGCTTCGAAAGGCGCTGCGGCAAGTTTTTGGGAGGAACTGATTACCCAGGAGCTTCGAGCTGGCAATGTGACCGCCTTGCAAAATTGTCCTGGCTCTGGACCTGATGGCATCACGTTCCACCATAACACCGAATTCAACAGTTTAAGCGAACTTCAAGTCTTCAAGTGCCGCAAGGAGGGATTCACTACATCTCCCGCCTTCTTCTGCCCTCCTTGCCGCTGTCATTCTGCTGATGGCTGTCTCAATAAATGTGACTCAAGCTGTGGGTCTCGTATGCGAAGCGCTCTTATACGGTGCGCGACTTTCTGCTTTCTCTGGATCAGACCATAATCAAGAAGGAACGACTGTCGTCCTCCTATATGATCTGGCTAGGGGAGACTAGGATCAGACGTCACTGACACCACTGTGCAGGCGTCTACTGCGTGCTATTTGTCACCTCTGTCGTGATTCTCATAAAACGCTATCGGGTGTCCAACAGAGTAATTTGGGTTGCAAACTGCCTGCTGTTCATGACATCAACAGCCCATTTTGCGTTGATGTTCAACCACTTCTATATTGCACTCGTGAGGGATAAATCAATAACAGGTTTGTGATAAAATGAAGACTCATATATATCGCTGCAGGAAAATGCTCCATTCGCAGAGTTCGCAAACGAAACTCCTGCGTTGATAGGAGCAAATTTAATGATCTCTGTGGTTGACTTCATTGGAGACTTGCTCTTGCTCTATCGATGCTGGCTTGTCTGGGAGAAGAATTTCTATGTGATTGTTCTCCCTCTCCTCACTGCTCTTGGAGGCTTTGGTAAATCATGATCAGCCTTTTCTTTAGACGGGAAAGCTCACCTTCCATATGCATCAGGATGCATCTTGCCCATTCCATCCCTCTTATTGTCGATCAACCCGACATCACCAACTCCTCCAACTGAGATCGTGCCCTTAACCATTGCCGGATATGCTTTGCCTCTTTGCACAAACGTTATGGTCACTGGACTCATTGCTGGTCGCCTTTGGTACATCTCTCGGATTCCCGTCGTCGATGAACATGGAAAGCCAAAGATCATAAAAATCGCTGTTGGTGGGCGCTCGATGATGCTAATCATCGAAAGTGGTGCGCTGTACTTGGTCACGCAGCTCATCTTTGTCGTTCTCGTAGCTATCCGAAATCCGGCCGAGGCGGTATTAAGTTTAGCGGGAACACAAATATATGTAAGTTCTTGCACATTCTGGTCCGTGGTTCAGCTAAAACCGCACATACACATCAGGGCATCGCGTCCACCCTGATCATAATTCGTGTTGGGTTGGGCATCTCATCTGAGCAGACTTTGACGGCAATGACAAGTACTCGTGTGGAATTTCGGTCCCAGCCGCAAAGTGCCACAGGGATGCGCTCGGTTGGGACATGGAGAAACGATCGCTCCTTTAATTCGCCATCAATTGCACAATTGGGTGAGGAACAGTGGTCGTCGGGTCATCCTTGAATCCGTGATTGTTCGAAGAACAAGATAGGCATGTAGAATGACCAAGAACGGTTATGTGATCAAGTTTTGCTTGCACTTTGGACATAGCAATGATGTAGTAAAGATTGGATAAGTGACCGGGATGGTCAAACTTCCAAACATGGTCGTGGCCTTGTTCGTCATGACGGCCATACCCACAGGGTTGCTCAGGTCGTCCTGGTCACGCTGCCATAAAGGCTCCAAGGGCCATCGTTTCGATCACGAGACTCAGTGCAAGAATTGCGCTCTTGATTCTGAGCGCTAGGAACATCCCGTCCGCTGAATCAGACACATTTTCTGGTACTTACGCGTCACGATACTTCACGGGAAGAGGAAAAGACCATTGACGAGGTAAGTAAGATATCTGATTGGCTGGTATCGAGGCTAATTGTCTTTACACTCACCAGTGAAGACTCTGTGAAAAGGAAACAAAGTCTGGGAGCACACTGCAGAGCATTCAAATGCTTCTGATGCTGACACGCGCCACTGACTCAGAGTCGCATGTATCAGTTTCGAAAAAAAAAGTGTCTGTATACTAAGCATCATACGAGTTTCAGACAATTACCGAGTCACTGATACCTGTTGTCCTTGAATGGAATCAGGAGGGTCCGCCGACAAACAAATGCCCTAATATCTGTCAAAATGTGAGCCAATTCATCATATTCGAAAATTGAGATATATGACATTGATAGCTCTCTGTTCGGATCCACATTGATGGAACAAAAGCTCTCCCCGAGGACTTACTTATGAGTATGAGGACACGGAAAACAGGTTCACTATGAGTCCGACATAAACTCACGAGAAGTGATACGTACGACATAAGTAAAAGGGTCCTGCTCATTTATTTTACCTTCCATTACCACCAGAGTCTAGTAGGATGGAAGTACTGGCAGAACTGAGATTGGCAAAGTGAAAATTAAGCTGAAACAAGTTCAGTGCTTGGACTCGAGAATGGGGAGGTGGTCCATACTGATAAATGCCCGGTACCGGGGGTCTCAGAAGGTAGTTATTGTGTGTGGGGCTATGCTGGATTATTACGTTTCATTATGCCTCGTGTTTTAAAGTTTCCAGTGATCAATATCCGTTTAGTCTGTCCATTGACACTGTTGCTCGCCTCTTCATGGTTCCTATATAGGTGGTCATGTTGCTCACAGCTGGTGCTCCAGTATCTGCTCGAAACACCGACATACGAAGAGGTCAAGGCGGTCACCAGAGATATATTGGAATCAGTATTAAAGTAGGCGCCCATTAACCAATCTCCGTCAAGAACTTAGAACTTCATCTAAAACTGAAGTGAATTACGGCTTAAGTATAACCTTCCTTCTAGAACGGGTAAAGCTCCTGCAACCCTGCTAGCTAACGTTTTGCGAGGGACAGTTTACGCTTGCCCATCGACCGTCCAACTCGTCTTTCATTGTCTGTCCAACTCTTTTCATTCACTCAGTCGCTCTTTCCTTAGAATGTTCTATACCCGCAGACCACCAACTTTGTCTATAAATGAGTTGAATCAAATTATCACCGAGTCTCTTGACATAGAACGATTCGAAAACCTCCCTGCAGAGACTATCATTCACCACGACTCACTCCCTTCGACTCCAGAAAAGCCAAAATACTCGACATTCTACCGCTTATTTTCTCGCTCGTCGACACATCTACCTGTCATTCCGCATTCACCCACAATACAGGTAGACGAGCCTGTTACACCGAGTCCTCGCAAGATGGCATTCACTTGGCGTTTACCGCGTTTATCGCCCCAGAGGTCTCGTTCAGCTAAAGATAATGCGGTGCGTATTTGTCTCTGCAGTCTAGTGCCCATATTGACGGTACAGTAGCCGGAAGGCGTCGCAAGTGTCCCTGTGGGCCCATCGAATCGTTCTCGCTCGTCGTCTGTTACTTCTGCCGTGCCATCACCTTCAAGACCATTGACTAGCATGTCGTCCACCTCTAGTCTTGGTTCGGTGATACCTACATCTGAGCGTTTCCTTAAGCATGACACAGAAGAAATTGTATGCACGGAAGCAGGAAATGTGGCCACCAGTACGAGGAGGTCCCCTTCACCATCTCCAGTTGCCATAGCACATTCTCGGCTTTTTCCGACACAAATGGCCTACTTTCCACCCGCGCCACGTTCACCGCTGCAGCTCCTGTTTGGTAACAAATCATTGAGCATCGTCCCTACCACAGGTGGAGGAGCAATGTCGAGTGCAGATGTCGTGGAAAAGAGGTCGGACACTTCAGTAGCTGAATGCACAGACGTCGAATCTATCGATGATGACATCACACCTCGAGCGACTGAATTTACTATTCCACCGCACAGACGTAGTGACAGTACCGTTCAGGCCAAACAAAGACGACGGCCCTCCGCGTTGACATTGGTTCTTCCTCCACAAGAGACTACATCCCTCTGCCTTCGACCAGCAATCGGGGTATCTCCCCATGTACCCTCTGATACCGATGGTTCCGTTTCCACGTGCTCCCTCCCATCTCCTACATTGTCCATACCCACGTCATGCCAGCCTTCATCTTACGTTTCTTCTGTCTTATCTAGCGCACTTGCGTCGTCTACCTCCAGCATACAATCACCTACCTCAACGACATCTTGTTTTCCCTGGTCTCGTGCACGGGCCGGTTCCCGTTCCATGCAAACCCCGCCATTGCCGGGACCTCCACCTAGTTGCCCCCTTCCTCCAACACCCGCTTTGGCGGCGCAAAATCCAGATTTTCTCACGCCACAGAACATGCAAGTCCCTCTTCCGACAGTGAACCCCAGTCCCTCGAAACATATTCGTACTTCTGTGCTTACTGGTTCACCTTCGGGCACACTTGCATGTCTTCCTCCTCCCTCTCCTGGAAGTTTGCGACTTCCTTCTCGTTTGAGCTGGGGCGCTACCGGACGCATGGTGGTTCCACTGCCGTCTAGTCTACCTAGCCCCCCTTCCTCCCCTTCAAAAAAAGGGAGAAATAGAGAACTTTCTTCGTGTTCCTCGACCGCAGACCAGAAGAACGGCTTGTCCAATGCTACATCTACGCTGGGCAAGCGTGCAAGTATTGGGGTATTAGAGGCCGCCAGTGACTTAGAAGCTCGAGTACGGCGCACAAAGAGCATTCTCGTACTAGGTACCCGGCGTTCAAAGGGAACGCTCAGTTGTCCCAGTTCGCCTCCAAAACGGGTGCAGATCCATGCTGAGGCGAACCTCGATACAGAGAGTTCGCCGAAGAAACCGATGAGGAGGAAATCGAGTGCTGCTTGCAGCGTACCATTTCTCACGGTTCCGCGGGAGCGAAGAAGATCTGCTCCGCTACTGCGAAGCGGAGCCACGTCTAAGTCTACGCCTACCTCTCCTGCATGTGCAGACTGGACATTGTCGCTGCCTTTCTGCATTGACGTACCTGGGAGTGGCATATTTGTGCCAACTCCTCCGTCAGAGGATGGCGCCCTTCATGAAGCTGATGAAGCCCTGCAAATAGCGCAAGGGGATGATTGGACTCTTTCCCTCGGTGTAGATCGCCAGATGGTTGGGGAAGGGGTGGCGACCCATAGTACACAGATCAAGAACAACGCAGAAGAACAATGTTCTGTTACTACACAGCTCCCTACGCCAAGTGCCACACCTGAGCCCGAGGACGACATTCCACCACTACCTCTACCAGCTTTCTTCGAGCCTTTCCCCCGGCCAGATTCTCCCGCGAGCCTCGGTCCTCACGGTGGCGGGCTTGATCTCGATGGAGGATGTGGGAAGCGAGGTTCTGGTTGGGACGCGTGCGGGTGGTTTGGACCCAGTAGCATGGATGAATCTCCAAAAGCGGATACGAGACCTGTTTCTATGTTCGACTCGGAAGCATCGTGGGTTCGCCGGAGTAGCGACACTGATGCTCCGCGGAGGAGTGATGTTGGTTTTGTTCGAAATAGCCACAGATTGTGGGTACGCTCCCCGAGTATGGATAGCATGGCGACAACTTGCACTGCGGACACCGTTTTTTACAGCGCTCGCACCAGTGTATTTGTCATATGATGGTTTCGTTGGACGCTTCAATTGATGTCCCAGTGACTTCCTCTCTGTGTATCCTTCCCAAAAGTACCTCTCCACAACTAATCTCTCCGCCAAGTCTCCGAACCGTGAACGCCCCAGCATTAAAGTTCCCAACCGCATCTAACCCCCGTAGATCTCTGTATCTTATATGCATCTCTCGCTCATGGTGATATATCTCAGGGTACTGTTGTACCTACTGTATAATATTCACGAACGCCGTGCTGTCGAATGATTCGGAAGAGTAGTATATCTTATATCTATTACATACTTCTTTAAAGACGTAGAATATCCCTTAAATATGAATCGCAGCGCGTTACTTTACACCAGTTTCTGCAGAGGTCTGGTACACTTGCAAAGGTAATGATCATCATCCCTAGTTCAACGTTATAAGCATCAATCTAAGCATCAACGTTGGAATCGATTAGAGCAATAACTTAATGTTTGAGGACGTTCTAGGGCTGCAGAACGTGGATGCAACCTCCGGGAAGTTGCAGGTTACATAACAGAAGCATCGCACAGAGGGTCCAGACCGTAGGCGTGACACCTCGGGCTCTTCGAGTTGCGGGGGCTGAGCCTTAAGATGAAGGAACGACTAGTACCGTCTTCCTTCAGGCTAGCCTTAGGCCTGGCTAACCAGCCACACGATTATTTCTCCGACCGCCCTGAAACAGGTTTAGTTCCTCGACGGGCTCCTGGACCACATTGCACAACTGGTCGGGGGCAATAATGTCAAGCTGAGCGCTAAGATTTATCAAGCGTGGAGGCCGTTTTCACGTAAGTGCCTGGATGTATTGGCAGAAGGGCAGCGCCTTCAAAGACATCGCAGAACGGAGGAACACCAAACGCTTTGACATCGTAGAACCACTGGGTCACCGGGACCGGTGGATTTTTGTGAAATGGATTAACGGATCACAGAACTGGCTGAGGCAGCATGCGAACTTGCCTGGCCGTTTCATATCGGAGAAACAGATAAGATCAAGGCGTTGTAGAAAAGTTGGAAAGAAAGTGCTCGCCGGGGCAACACCGAAGTGCGTAGATGTCGATTACTTATCATGTCAGCATTGCATGATGCCTTAACTAAATCGGGCTGCTTTACGCCTGCATTATACGGTGACAACCAACCTGAACGTTGCGTGGACGAGACGTTATATTCAAATCCTATTTGAAGCAGATAGCACATGTACAAGTACGTACAGCACACATGTACGACGAGTCGCCGTACTTAAGTTGACTTACAGGGGTAGATCTGTGGCGTAGCTAGCGGAAGATGCCGTTAATTTCAATTTTTGAAAGCCTGGTATGACCAATCAAGTCCTTGCGGCCCTTCTGCTTCCTTATGGTTACTGCGAAACTTTGCAACATTGTGCGTGTCTGGGCTTTGAACTTTCATATTTCTGTCATCGTATCCCCATCCTTCTGGACCAGATCAATCTTGCCAGTGGCCTCAGAGGCAAATGCAACATTGCCGATCAATATTTTTGACACTGACATACGATGCTCAGCCTGAGCACGTCGTGATCAGGGACCGATATCTTGCGGGGATTAACTGATCGTCAAAGGAATTTGTCAAACACTCGTGCGTTACTTACTGTCTTTGATATGGCAACCACGGCGCGGCAGGAAGCGTCCATCATACCAATGGATTTTTTCTGGTGGTGGCGGGCGCGTGTCCTCGAAGAGCGGATCGATTATTTTCAATAGAATTCTCAGCGCGGCGGCGGTTAATTTTATCTGATTTCTATTGACGGAATGACGAAATCGATGCAACTAACAGTGCATCAAAAATAGCACAATACATGCAGCACTACCTAAGGTTTCTGCTTTGGCTACCGACTCGGAGTTGGCCCATCATAGCTCCTGAACACAAACGCATGTACGACTCGCCGATGTACCTTAGCTTCGGAAGGATTCTACTCACCGAAGACGCCCCAATCCTTTTTCATTGCCAGTAAACCTTGACGCCATCAACTCTCAAAGGTGTATTGAAACCTTGAGTTAGCGGGGGACTATATGTGTTACTCGAGAAAGCGCTTGTGAGCGTTGCTATTTCGGGGATCCCTTGGACTGGCAGAGATGCACTGCGAACATAATAGGTGACGAGAAAGGTCCTGACAGGGATGCACTACGAACATGATAGGTGACGAGAAAGGTCCTGACAGAGATGCAGAGCGCAATCAGCGATTCGTCATCATGAGATAGAATTGGTTTCTCTGATCAGCTTAGGTCTAGGCCTGAACCCTTGGCAACGCCTTCCAGAGCTCATCATTCAGAGATAGGGGAGTTGCAAGTCTTGATCTATCATCCAAGACGCTCGTCCTAGGAAACCGCACTGTATTTTCGACAGCATCTTGTGCTGCAATTTACTCATTTCAAAGACGATTGACAGGTAACTCTTGAGTAAGCATCGCCAACAGACAATTATGGACCATGGTCATGCGTGGTACTCGATCGTCAGTGACATACACCGGTCACTCCAGTCCGCATAGCCAATCTTCTTCGACCACTCCACCTCCGTCAAGGCCTTGTTACAATCAATCTGCTATTTATTTTGTAGCTTGAGATGGCGCTATACCGGACGAAGCAAATATAATGGCACCACCGCGCCGATGTTGGGAATTCCGAGCAAAGTGTGCACGTGTTCAAATATGTGGACCATGTACGTACTACCTATTATGGCAACAGCGAATAGGGTAAAAGCTTGACCCGAGCCGAAGACGGCAAGAAACGCACTCCAACGTAAGTAGTCAAGACTAGTACTGACGGTCGTCCCTTAGGCCTTAGGCCTTAACCGTTACGCCAAAAGGCAGTGATAATGAAAGCTCACGCTCCATTATCTCGGACAATATTTATGCTGATTATGGGAACTCAGGAAAGCCAACGGGCTTACATCCAATAACCTAATCGGATATATGTCAAATGAGTGAGCTTCTTCATACGTAAGAAGCTAGTTCCTTTAACCGATACTAGTAAAGAAAAGAACCCGCAAATATTGGTGACGAGCATGGCCTTATCACTACAAAAGCCAGGAGGAGGATCCAAAGAAGGGATTCAAGAACACCCTTGCCCATGATGTCCTCCATCCAAGATGTGTTCCCCGCGTGGCAGACTGGGGCAGTCGTCTTCGGTCTGCTAGGCGTTGCGACTATATACTCCTACCGTTCTAGCTCTCGTTCACTGCCATTACCTCCTGGTCCTCCAGAGCCACCTCTTGGGCATTAGTATGTCGTAGTTTGTAATGAATGATACAATACTGACGTACCGGAACAGTCCACCCAGGAAGATTTCTCAATGGATAGACGAATATGGTCCAGTCATCTCTCTCAGCCAGGGCAAAAATGTACTAGTCATCATCGGACGTCACCAGGTTTGAACGCATCTTGCAGGATGTTATAATTGTGATATTCACGTCTCTGACAGGAAGCAATCGATATAATGGAGAAGCAGGGCGCGTCCCTCGCAGACCGTCCTCGTTCAGTCGCTGGCTGTGACATCCTTGGCAGAGGAATGCGATTCGTCCAAATTGGCGCTGGCGAAAGGCTCCGCAAATTCCGCAAGTAGGCGACACGTTAACTTGTTTAAAAAAGCCGACTGGCTAACCGGCCCGATCACATCAGATCTTCGCATTCGCACCTTCAAGTGAAGTCTGCTCAGACTTACGAGCCAGTACAGGTCGCGCATGCACGCGATATTGTTTTGGACATACTACACGACCCAAAATTACACCAGCAGCATATCAAGCGGTTCGTCCGTCCCCTGTTCTTACATTCCGGTTGGTGACATCCACACAGTTTCGCGGCATCTGTCATTCTGCATGTCGTCTATGGGAAGACAACCCCTACATTACTTAGTGACCCGTATCTACTGCAGCTGCAAAAAATGATCCCAAGGGTTCAGAGCGCGATGATGCCAGGTGCATACCTCGTCGACAAGTACCCCATCCTCAAATATATCCCTGGTTATGGGCGGAATTTGAAGCAGTGGAGCCAAGAAGAATATGAGATGTTATTCGGCCAGCTGAATTGGGTTAAGAGTCAAGTGGTATGGATCCTTCTTCTATTCTTCAGTCATTGCATCGACCTTGCCATGACCCAAACAGGCAAAGCTATATTGCTCCTCATTCAGTCGCAAAGGACCTCCTCCTACACACCGATGACAACCAACTATCTGAGACAGAGATAGCATATCTCTCCGGGTCCCTCATCGGAGCAGGCTCTGATACGGTAAGCAAAGGAACCGATATCAACATCATACAACCTAACTTTCGGAATCTTAGACTGCTGTCGCAATTTCGACGGTCTTAATGGCTGCTGCGCGTTTTCCACACGCACAGGCTCGCGTACATGAGGAGCTAGAAGCCGTCATTGACCGAGAGACCCGTATGCAAATTATAAGTCACTGTAGTTCAAAACCGGCTTACCTTGTGACACAGCTCCTACTTTTGAGGACTGGTCGCAGCTCGTTCAGCTTCAAGCCTTCATTCTGGAAGCTCTTCGATGGAGGCCGGTCAACCCAATAGGTGAGCCAAGGATGCATGTTCCAAGGTCATTTGATTCATTGGCGTTCCAGGTTTACCCCACCGCGCAACGAAGGATATCATTTGGGTACGTTGCATAACATGATAAATCAGATATGAGTTTATCACAATCACAGAATGGCATATGCATTCCTGCTGGGGCCACTGTTTTCGGAAACCATTGGTTGGTGCACGTCAGGGTTTTTTTTTTTACAATTTCTTACTTCGTTCTTCAGGAGCATCGGGCGTGACCCCACTGTCTACCATGATCCCGAAGTATTTAACCCTCAACGATGGATCGGTACAGACGGGGAAATAAAAGAGGACATGAAGTTGTTCACTTTTGGTTTCGGAAGACGGTACATATCTTTTTTTCTCACCGTGGGTTTCGCTGAAGATACGTTAGTGCGTGCCCGGGGCTGCATATTGCCAACCGGTGAGTCGACAACGTGGTCCGATGAGCACTCTGTCTCACTCGTCTATCACTTTTCAGATCAGTGTATATCGCTGTTGCTCTTGTGCTCTGGTCCTTCACACTGGCAGAAGACCCAAGTAACCCTATTGACGACACTGCTTTTACCCCTGGCGTAGTATCACACCAGAAGCCTTTCGGCCTGACCTTCAAGCCCCGCATGGATGAAGCATTATTGAGAACTATTTTCTATTCAACAGGGGTGTAGTAGCATTCAGCTTTCTGTAGCCGCCGGAGGTACAGTAATTTCGGTGAATTGTAAAATCCATAATCGATTCTTTTCATTCATGTAGTATCACCTTTTCTGGTATGCATCATAATACGCCGCGAATGTAGATAGCCAGAATATGAAGTTGCGGTTGTGCCTTGATGTTGTGTGGAACAGCTTCGTGAGAGATGCCGATTATTCCCTTGAGTGCAGGTCTGGAGTGGGTGGGGTTGGTGGCTGCGTAGATGGTATCCCTGGCCATATAGCAGCCATCAACTAATTACGACTGATTTGTATTGGCCAACCTTCTGCAGACCACTAGTACCTTCAACTAAATAGAGACTCTAGATCTGCCAGAAAGATAAGATACGGACCACGAGGTACAAACCCAAAAGACGGGCTTACGAAACGAAGAACGGAGCGTTCGGAGTCTAGTCTTCTTGACCTAATAAAGACATATGACAATTGATAAGTACTCTCTAAGCTCAAGCGTGCTCTGGACTGGATGGGAGAATTTAATTCATTCTGATAGTTGCGGACCAATATTAATGGGGTTTCTGGTGCGGATCGGCTCCGATGGTGGGCATTCATCATCGCGGTGTGTGAGAAATTATCGTGGTACCTAGCAGGGGGCGATACTAGGAAAGGATTCTTGGTTGGGCGCGCCACGGAGCATCACAGCCAACCCCGGAATCGTATCATTATATAATTAGGAAATAGTGTGATCCAGATGGAATTGATCCCTTCGGTGCCTGACAATGACAGAAGTAAGTATAGTTGAGTATAGCTATCTATTCTTGTCCAGATATCTTTATCGTATCTGGATATAGTCTTCAACCAGAATGAGGGTAGCGTCATGGACGAATGTGAAAAGTGATCGACCTTTAGGAGCGCATCTTGCCAATACTAATCCATCTTCGAAATGCCCACTCCAGACACAAGACCGTACACGGAGTTTCGAAAGCGCTCTACGCGCAGCATCCCCATAGTATCCTGCTTCGCGTGTGAATGGAGTGGTTCATCAGATTAGATCCATTCTATCATCGCCCTAGCCGTGAGTCGCGGAGGAGTTCGCAACCTGACACAGACAGATTGAGAAATCAATACGGCATTGCAGTGTTGCTCTAGGAAGTATACCCGGTCGTCCACGAGCAAGCAGCCAATTGCTTGACTAGACATGAGTGTCGCATGAAACCGCTCCTGCATACCTCATGCCCCATTAACATTTTCAGTTGTTTGGCCGATCCTCGCAGAACAAAAGGAGAGTCCAGCTTCAGCGGCAGCTTTCAGCACACATTTGGATTCCCGATAACCCATGCCATGGAATCGTGACCGGGGGTGTACCTCAACAGGCATTTCAATCACTTGCATATATCTCTGCCATACGTCGTGAGTAAATGCCTCGCAAAGCATGCGCTCAAGACGAACTTTAGAATATCCCGATAGAGGACAGCGCAGCGGATATTTGCATGGTGAAGCCAATGTCATTTCAACCAACCTGCACGTCCTTGCCATGACAGGCTCAAAGTTATGCAACGGTAAAGCGAAGTCGAACGTTGAGTCTTGATGCGCTGACAACCATTCAGGATGATGGCGACAGTGATCCTTCCACTCTGCGCTATACCCCAAAAACCATAGCAACTATCCAACAGCATCGTACCTCGTGGAATTGGTCTTCTTTTAAACCAAGGTTAGGTTCTACAAACATTGAATATGTTCTCCTTCAAGTAGCACAAGTTTAGAAGATTGGAGAAGACTAGGATCGATCTCACGTGAATTCATCCCCTTGTCTTTTCCTGAGCATGCTGTTATCCTTGTGAACGCGATTCAAAGTGTAATATATCTTGTGGACGGACGAATGCGCAATTATGTAGCCCGAAGCGCCCACCACGCGTGCCGATGATCACGACAGTCTCTGAACGTATCCTTCCCTTTGGAATGTGGCGACTCGCGAGGCAGCTGGGAACCTTGTCTTCTTGTTGTATGTACGGATGTTACTGTCGTGATTCCGGCTCATGAAAACAGTAAAAGTAGGAGTTTTGGGAACCGTGTGGTGTAGATGTTATCATGGATGCTATCATGAACTGAGAACTCGAAGGAGGAGCGGAAGTGTGCCAGGGCGCTGCAGGGCATGTATGCAAGTCGACGGCCGTCGCGGAAGACAGCGGCGGCGAGCCATCATGATGAGCCGCAGATAAAGTCTTATATGACAACATATCGTCATATATAGAACTTCTTTCCTTTATTGGAATATAAAGTCATACATATAAAGTCATGTAAAGTACCCTGCATCTAAAAATGCGAATTTGCAGAAATGGTATTGTAACCCGCTCGCAAGACGCTTACAAGGGTTTTGTTCTGGTTAGCTCAGGTCTGCGTTCGTAAACGCTCAGTTTGGTTATGTTGAGACTGATTATCAAGGAACAGTGTCTGGACTCTGTTACTAGTAGGCCATGCGATAATCTTGTAGTAGTATATACTAATAGTACGAACAACTTGCTTTCTACGCTGTAACGATGTAGTCCTTTCTACCAGGAATATTGTGGTGCCTGCGACGGTCCAATGCGCAACATGTACTCTCACCATCGCCGTAAGCATCAAACTTCTTTTTGACAAGCGAGAAAAATGGGTCATTCGCAGATGTGGGTAGACTCACGAGTTCTCTGATGCGCCGCTGTGCCAAGTGTACTGACCAAAGACCGACAGACTCAATGCCGACGTGCCGTAAACTATAAGCATGTAAAGAAGCAAACTCGTTTTCCGCCTCCAAAAACATACAGTCTCATGTGACGCACAACACCATAATCGTCTCTCATTCAATGGAGTAAGTACTAAGTAATATCATTGCTATCGAATACGCGTACCACAGTACAACAATCATTATTCATGTACTTACAATCAGAAATATCCATAAAAAATACAAAGTCAGGAAGTGAGTAGCAGCATTTCTGCTGAGTTCCTAAGAGATCCAACATCATTTGAACTTGTTCAGTAAGTTTCGACCCGCCTGCAGGGAAGCAACATCAATCAGTGATTACATAATGGTGATCAGGAGCAAACTCACTCTGCGCAAGAGTCTCCAGCTGTCTCCTCGCATCCCTCCCCGCGAGGCCTTCGACCGTGTCTAGTGCACGCCCCGCGAGACCGAACCCACCCCCTCCACCATTGCCTGTCCACGTCGGTGCCGACTGGTTCGGGGCGTAATAGCTCTGAGACTGCGGATGCGTGGGAGGACCTTGTGAGCACGACAAGGATTAGCAACGCAAGGGCAGCTGTGAAGAGAAGATACGAACGGTGCGCTGTGGGCGGAGGCGACCCTGGGATCCCCCATTCAGGCGGAGGGTAGGGTCGGGGAGAGTGCGAACCACCAGGCTGAGGTTGTCCGGGCGGAATTTGGTGTTGGTAGTAGTCTTGCGCAAGTGGGTTTGGTGCGGAGTAGGCGGGGTAGGAATGTGCTGGCTTGTCCATTGCCATGTAAGGTCCTTTGAGGTGTACCAGAATGTGGAGTTGTGTGGGGAGGCCACTGACCGTCTGTCGGATAATATTGTTCTACGCGGGGGAAAGAGGCAGGATCGTGCGGGTGCACGTTGGCATCATACCGATCGTATACTGGTCCGCCTATAGTGGAAGGCTTCCCCTGGGGTGTGGGTGAGGGGCGGGAACCGAGGGGTGGCACAGGGGGATAAGACGGAGCATTGTACGGAGAATGATGAAGTTGTTGTTGACTAGGATACTGGGACCATGATGCAATAGGTACTGGCGAAACTGGCGGGCGCGGAGAAACGATAGGTGCGGGTGAGGTGCTACGACGCCTTAGGCTCGCTTCCACGGAAGGCATTTGCATTACTGAAGAAGAAGATATAGAGGAAATTCCTGACGTATAGGACTGCTGCGGTCCTGCCTGAGGGTATGATAATTTCTGTCGAGCGAGATCGTCGGCTAGATGGCCCACAGTAGGGGATGCAGGCGCGGGGAGAGGAGAAGAAACCCGAGACGATGGCCTGAAAGGGGAATGCGAGGAGCTTGGTCGCTGCTGGGGGCGCATGACCACCTCCATCTTGTCGGGGGGATACACTGGTCTTGTTGGCATCAAAGGGGGCGCAGGGCGAGAGCTCATGTTAACGGCAGGAGGTGGGCTGCTCCCCGATAACGTACTCGCGGTCAGTGATGAACTCCTGGCTGGAAGAGGTGGTGGTGACCCAAAGGAGACTGAGGCACCGGATGAATGGCTGAGAGTGGGTTTGGTGGCTTCAGGCGGAACTGGCCTGGTATTCAATGCACCGCTGGCTAGAGGAAGCGGTCCGATGGCTGCCTGAGGACTCTCTGTGTGTGGCTCATCTTCCAGTCTATATGGTGGCGGAGGAACCTCATCTACCGCTGCACCTCCCTCTTTTGCAGCCCAGTCACGGTATGCTCTTTGAGCTTGATTCCATTGCTCGGCCTCTTCCTCTTGAGTTGTCTTGTCCTCATACCTGGGGCGAGTCGCCCAGTAGTCCTGTAGCTCCTTGACGGGAAATGTCTCGTGTAACATACGCTCACCGCGTAATGATTCAGCAGCGAACCCAGCTATGCGCATATACCAGTCTGACGGAAGCGAGTGGCCATCGGCGTCGAGTGCTAGAAAGTTGAACTGTGGATGAACCGGGAGTTCCTTAGAAGAAGAGACGACAGGTATAAATGCCGTGCCTTCGTCATATTCGTCCCACATAGCCCCGTAAATGATGCGCACCCCTGCGTGTCGTGCAGCATATATTTGTTTCCAGAGAAAGTGACCCCCGTTACGCTTTATGTCATTAAGTCCCCATTGTCCGCGAGAGAGATTATAGCCCTATTGAACAGAAATAATGATTAGTTGCATAATGATCACAGAATGTGGCATTACTAGACCTACACTGCCTCCAGGAAGCACCACAGGTATGTAATCTACTCTTTTCCCCCCTTCGTCTCCTCTCTTCTTCAAAAAATCGAAGTCCGGTTTAACTTTCTCATTCCCCCAACGTTCCGCATCTTCTTCATTCCCGTAACGCCCAATAGTCCAAGGACTCAAAGCATCAAATTCTTCTGTCCAGACCCTCAGGAACTCGGGGTTTCGGTCACTATCAGATGTTGATGTGCGCCAGTGTCCAGGTACACCTGCCATAAGATAAGCACCGCCTGGTGTGGAGGAACGAAAGAAATTAGTAATAGATCGGACGACCTCTGGAGAGTGGTTTCTGTCGTTGAACCCAAAACCTGGAGAACAAATGAGCTAGACAACCAGAATGATGTCTTGTGCGAGCATACCCCATAGAGCGATGACCGGTTTGCCTTTCTCCCGAAGGTAATTGGGGCTGTCTAGAATGCATTGATCACGCATGAGATGCATCCAATCTTGCTCGAGCACCCGCTGGATCTTGTCTGGGTGAACCCCGAGACATCATACCTAAATGCACAGTGAACATCGACCCAACTGAGTTAACGAGTATGCACACATGATGGCAAAGACCCTTCCCTCTGCTTCAGCAGCCTCTCTAACACGATCTCCCACTTCATCTCTGATTTTCCTGATTGGTCCAGAGCCCGCCTCCATGTCACATTGGCCTGCAAATCGTTGCAAGAACGCAGCCGTCGACACCGTGCAACGCCATCCAGTGGAAATGGCGCCTCACCGTCTTCGAGTGGACGCGAAGAGAAGAGAAACATCTGTTCTCCGTCTGCATTTTTGAGACCTGGGGCGGGGAATAGCTCGGATGGGGAGTATTCGGATACATCTGGCCATAGGTCGGTATTGGGGCGTCCGCCGTCCGGGATGGGTTTATCAAACCAGTGCAGCCATCCATGGTGGTTAGGGTCTATTGGCTCGCCATCTCCATTGCAGGTGAACCTGTAAAAGCAGTGTTGAGTATGCGGCTCACTATATGCGACACTCATCATGCGTCCGCGACTTTAGACCACTACGGAGGCACTCATGTATGGCCCACGGGCTTGCATCTAAGTGATAATTGAACACACCATCCCTGATATCCGACTAGAAATTTGTCCTGTATTGTCTTTGGGTTTGCTCTGCGGTGAGGTTGAGGGAGATGAGCATTGAGCAACTTCACGTCAGCCAGCGAACATACCTCTTGAGAATTCGTCCATCTAGCTCTTTCGCCGACATGGTGAGAAACAAAGACCACTAAGCAAGAACTGCGGACGGAGTGATGCTATGTAGCCGCTCCTATGTAAGTTTCAGGCTGTCAGAATTCAGAAACACGCATAAATATTATTTTCATTCTGTAAAATATTTCATTGACTTCCATCCTGTGGAACTCCGAGTACGCGTTCACTGGCAGGACTCCCTTGACATCATGCCCAATACGATGTACCGCAGCTGACAGCCAGAGGGTAAAAGCTATTATTATCTAGAGTCATACTACATAATTGTCTCACAGGATGACCTTCGTCCTTATCAGCAGATCAGCACCAGACGCCATGGATAGCACTGCAGAAGACCTGGCCAGCTATCTCGTGCAGCAACTCAAACTGTACGTTCATCCTTCGAAAACTGATGCCACTTCATTTGATGGCCAAGTTAGTAAAGCAGTGGGAGAGAGGCTCTTGGTTGCCATCGCCGGCGTCCCCGCGTCTGGCAAATCAACCCTTGCTGAGCTGGTAGTCGCCAAAATCAACGCACTTCTGGCTGCTGATAGCGCCACGCATCCTACCTCTGCCATCTTAGTTGGCCTGGATGGGTGGCATCTGACGCGTGCACAGCTAGATGCCATGCCGGATCCTAGACTTGCACATGATCGTCGCGGTGCACACTGGACTTTCGATGGACCATCTTACGTCGAGTTTGCGAAGCTCTTGCGTCAGCCAGCAACTGCTGTGATAACTGCCCCTTCTTTCGATCATGCCATGAAAGATCCTACCCCCCACGCTGTGTCAATATACCCTTCCCACCGCCTGGTCGTGATTGAGGTTTATACTCCATGTTAAAATATGACATATGGGAGCAGGGTGCACAGCTAATGGATGAACGGTGGTGGGTACAGGTAGGTTTGGAGGAAGCGAGACGGCGGTTGGTCAAAAGGCACGTCCTCACAGGAGTGGCTAAAGATATGGAAGAGGCGATCTGGAGAGCAGGACAGAATGATGAGCCAAGTAATCACCGTTATCTTTATGAAATGATATGAGGAATGCTAAAGCTTGGCCTCCTTAGATGGGAAATTTATTGCGGAAAACCTTTATCAACCCACAAGGATCATCGAGAGCTTGGACGACCCCAAATATACCCTTTGACCTTACTGCAAAAATGTAAATCACGCTTCTTGGAATGCCAATCATAGGCCTCAGAGATTGGTTTGCTCGCCGATGAATCTTCAAGTAAAGAAAGATAAGTAACGTTTGAGCTGAGGACTGCGTTTGCAGATCGTTCATCGATACACAGCTCGCTTTCATTCCAATCTACAGCATTCTGAATCTCCACGGTCAATCGATCCACCACGAGGAAGGCCGACATCCCCATCGGAAATTTTCTTGGACTCCGTGGCTGTAAGCGCCCATGACAATGACTATATTCCTGCGTTGCGAAACAATAACATTTATCCAACTAGATGGTTTCGGCTGGTGGTTTGGAAGTGGCCTACTGTTCCTGAGGTACTATGAGCCTAGTATACCCAAGCTGATCCACACGATAATGGGCTCGAACTTAGTAGTGGAGTTAGACTGGTGCGCATGTCCCCAAGACGTCGACGGGTTACGTACCACTATTCACAGAGGGCAGAACTTCGAGTGCGATGCACTGAGCGTTGGTTGCTTTGCGCGACGTAAATTCCCGTTATGGTAAACAAGATGAACGAATGTATTACGGCCTTTCGATGAGCTGAACAATGCAGTGAGCATCGGTTTCTGCATTTTCGATGAAGTATGCTGGTGGCAGGCGGAGGGACCAGTCTGCGAGACTCCAGACATATCATTATGATCAGACTGCCCGGCAGACCAGTCACTCCCTCTGGGAACTGGAGTGAGCGCTTCTTCGAGACATCCACTACACTGCGAACAGCAATGAGAACGGTGCAAATTTAGTATCAACGTTATGGAAAATGAGGGCCCACGTAGAAGATGAGCTTGACCAGGGTGAGTGCATGGCATGAGACGATGACGGCTGATTAAGGTCATGGTCAGATTATCCTTGAAGTGACATGGTAAGCTTCACTTAACTGTATCTGCGAATACAGAGCGAAGAAGAATTATGGAGCACCAGTCGCCATTCAAGACCTTCCAGCATCGGTCGACGACGATAATTGTGTCGCCTGACCTGTTAATCCACTGGGGAACATTTTCTTCCGACATACGACTGCTAGACTATAGGATTACGGCGTTGCCTTCTCACTGCTTCCCGTAATATTGCAGTAGAGGGTAAGCAATTGGAGGTGGGTGGGAGCGATAGGGTGCTGCGGTGTGCTGACGACCTTGGAACAGGTTTCCACACATTGCTACTGCAGCAGTGTGTGATCCCGATCTGGCGCGGGTTGCAACCCGAGAATTTTGATGATCATGGCGTGGGTCTTCGACCGAAAATGTCTAACTGTTATCCTCTCCTTGGGGAGAAAAACAGTTTCTCTTCGCTGTGCTTAATTACCAGCGCAGTCGTCCCAAAGCGTACCTGAGGAACCTTGAAAGGGGACTTGTGCTGCCTTTCCGTCAATGAAATTGTAAACAACAGAGAGGAAAGCGCAAGACCCAGACGAGGCAAATTGTAATTTTCCCATACAGATTTATCTGGGGTTTGTCGATGCATACCAATAACCGAAGTTCACCGTTTAGCGCAATGTCCATGCAGCTTTGTGCTTGCTGTACTCAATATGTCTACCACTATCAGGAGCCTTTGGAAAAGGGCGGACCCTGATAGCAATATCCCCCCCTAGGGGTTGGCTACCTTGGTAGCGGGAATGCCGCAAACAGCGAATTGGTATTCCTGTAAATCACACGAGCTATCACGCGATCAAGCTACCTGGCGTTCCCGAGGGACCAAGGAAAGTCACCCAGGCGCCACACTCGCCGGTTTCAATATATCTACTGCGACGACGACTTACACGACGCTGAAAGTACGGCCGGTAAACGGGCATCTGAGGCGGCATGCTTCCTCATGCTGCTTATGTCGCAGGATCTCGAGATACGTACTATGATATTTCAAGTTCCCGCCTCCGAAGTGCTTGCACGAGTTGCAGCCCCAGTTGTATTCACCTGGCAAGGTTCTTCTCCCAAACATAAATTTGGCCAGTCATTCCAGTGGAACCGGCGCTAAATCAACATGAACTCCGAACACTGGCAAATTGCCCAAGGCACCCATGTAAATGTTCATGGTGATCGCCGGATGTGTTGTTGCCGGTCAGGGTAAACATTCTCCGGACCAACTCGGAGTAGCCTCCCCAAAGTCAGCAGGCGAAACATTGCCAAGGTCATAATGAAACCCCGTTGAGAAACTTAAGAACTCTGCCGGACCAGCTAAGTCAAAAATACGGACGCAGTATTTTGCTTGTGGAGACATTTCTCAACTCGAACAGGCAAAGAACACAATCAGATATATAGATATCGTCAGGATGATACTCGATACAGGCACAAATCGCATAACAGGCTAACGTTACAGTACGTACTCGAGACAATAGTAATTTAGATGCTGGAAGACAACGAATACGGTGACCAGCACTTCAAAAACCCCTAACGGGTCAAAAAAAAACGAGCAAATGGTGATGAGGCCAGAGGTAGATCTGGCGGGTACTAGGTGATGTGTCAGTGATAAATGCTGGGACGGGACTAAAACCAAAGAAGTCCAAATAAGCCGACAAGAATGTCAAGAAATCTCTCAGCTCAGCTCTACTATCAGCATGAGCGAGGGAGTCCAAAAATCCAAAGAAGAACACGGCAGATATCAACATGATTAGACCATGACAAGTCTTCCCATGACGTACGTCCCTCCGTTCACGAGGCCAACGTTCCCTACATCTTTGCCGCCAAACCCTACCTGCTGGACCCGGGAGGGTACCTTTCCATCCGCACGGGTGATAAGGCGTGAGGCCAACACTCTCGTCCCATGAGTCGCGCTCTTCAATCCACTCGTTGGATACGTCATCTTTGACTGCAGTAACAGGTGGGAGGGGGACGCTAGTCGCTTTTGTAGACTCCGCGGGGAAAAGGTTAAATGGAAGAAGGGACGTCGGTATCCATTGCGACGGGGACGGAGCGCGACGTCGTCTCTTTGCGGATGTCTTGGGCTGTTCTGATGGTGACGTCGTCGATTCATCGCGAACACGCTTGTTCGGTCGCGAATCTGAATCAGATGATGCGGCAGTACCTGAAGCCTCTGCCGGCGGGACAGATGTGGGTTCTTGTGACGTTCCAGCAGAGTCGCTGGACGTTATCTGGTTTGTGCGATTTGCAGTGTTTACGGGCTTAAGAATGCACCGCTTAACGTGACGGTTAAGATTAGGAGGCAACGCCAAAACGACGGCCACAGGTGTCACACACAAATGCTACAATCACGAATTTTTAGCGTCACGCGACCGCAACAAATTTGCTAGTCACATACCTTTTTCTCCTGTGTGTACGAGCAGATGCTGCAAAATAGACCATTGATATGAGCTGGCTATTTTTAGCAACAGAACAATATTGACCTTTCTCAACGTGGAGGGCCTATCAAAGGATTTCTCGCACATCCAGCAGGCATGCTTCTTTTCCCGTGGTCTTGGGCCTGAGCCTTCACCCTTGGCGTTGCGTGATGATGCAGACCTAGAAGAGTTGGCACACGCAGTCCGAATGGACTGGGTTAGCTCGGCAGGGGTGGTGGAAGGCCCTGGTAACGCTAGGGCAGATGGGAGCGGCGGTGATGGATGAGATGGAAGAACCATGTTGGATGATGTTGGAAGATCAATACAGTAAGAGTGCGACGATGAAGAATAATGTGATGACGATGGGCTTTTATCGCATGCAGGGTATGTGTAGTGCAGTTGTTGCTGGTAGAATAAAGGCAGCGTGTCCGACCACTCACATGAGGTATGGCCGCCGGCGATGGTACGAAAGTTAGCTAAAGATGGGGGTATATCTAAAGATATAGGTGGTCCGGTGACCATGGCACGTAGGGCCGACGTTGTCGATGCGCCGCTATCTTGGAGAGAGTATCTGCCGCTCTGTATATCGTATGCGTCGTAGATGGATGATCTTTCTAAGAAGCCTGTAACCCAATCCGAGGTGTTTGACTGGGTAAGAGATGGACCCAGTTGAGCGCTCTGCATATGGTACTGCCGCAAATTGGGCTGCTGGACTAGAGGGCTTGGACTCTGCATCATAGGGTGTGGGACGTCAGGGGGCGGCTGGGTATCGACGAGGAGGACGAAGTCTGATGAAGTTCACACTAATTCTGTGAGCAGGAAAGCTTATATATAATTTGTTGGGTACATCCGTTGCAACCCTAAAGATGCGAAGACATAAACAAAACGAGGACCAGATCTATGAAGGCCCAGGCAACGAGCAGCTGGTTTACGGCAGAAATTAGCATTCGACCCCAGCGGCTCCCACCGTTTTCTGCAATCGTCATTTGGCGTGGACCGACCAGCTGGCTGAGTCAAGCATTCCTATAGCTCTTCTCGAACTCACCGCTTTCGCAAGAAGCCTCGGAGGCCCGCGTGTTGTTGAGGAAGATCAGAGGCCACCACTGCGGGAAGGAAATTGTTGCATCAATCATACTTACTCTGATGGGCTCTCGGTCCGTGATAACAAAAGTCTACTTCCCCCACGCGTTAACTGGAGCAACAACATCTCAACTTCCACTCAATTCTCGGCGGAGCGGAAATACCACGCTCGGTGCGCCTCGTTGTCTGAGTGCTCGCAATGATGGCCTACCCACTTCCTTTCCGGTGTCGCTTCGAAGTATTCTCTTTGGCCACGCAGATGGCAGATATGAACAACGACGATCCCGGTGCATTCAGACGCATTTGAGGAAATGAAGCTTTCCTCGTGTGGATGGAAATAGAAGAACAGCTCGCTGGATATGCATGCTTGAGTCTGTGTTTGGTAACTTTGGTTTATTCTCCTATACTTAGTTTAATAGTTAGTCAATGGAGATGACGCAGCCGCCGGTAGTGGAATAGTAATTGAGGCTGCAGCACAGGAAATTCATTTCTGATTGCAGATAGCAACAAGATCAAGTTCGTTCATAGTTGAACTTCTTCAGGGCCCGAGGCTCTCCTAGGCGGAACTTGAATCAATTATAATTACGTTTGTGTGGTCATTTGTTGATTTTCAAGGCTTTTGACAAACAAACACAAATAACGCCTCTTCCACTAGCCGAAAACAATTATTGGATACAAGGCTTGCCAATCATGACAATAACAGCTGCACAGAAGACCGCCATAGAGGAGGTCATTGAAATTTTAATTGCAACTACCCCAGGTCGCGGAAAACGCCAATTATCTCAATTGTTTATGGATCTGGTGGATAGAACAGAGTGGCCTGAGTACTATGAGGTATTTTCTCATATTCCGCACAAACGAACGCTAGACATGTCCGAATTATTTATTTCAACTAGGTCATACCCGAGCCACGATGTATCAACGCCATTAAGTCAAGCGTTGAACGGAACAGATACAAGGACGCGTTGAACGCGTATACCGATCTGTCACTCGTGTTTTGGAACGCATTGTTCTACAACGAACCAGATAGTCAAATTGCTACAGATGCGCAGACTCTCAAGGTGCGTTTTCTACTTCTCGTCCGCGGCGCAATTGCCCTGAACACCGATTGGGCGTTCCGACGTTATCTATTCGTGTTCAGACTGTACTCGAAATTGAATGGCAGAAGAGAAGCATTCTTCCTATGCCCCGACACTCGCCACCTCCCTCATCCGCTCAAAAGGTCCACGGAACGGGTCCCGCTGCACCGCCGCAGTCCATTGTCACGCAGCCTTCCACTTCTACAACGACCAAACTGAGAACAACAGTTCCAACATCCGCTGTAGCTCCAATTTCCGAGTCACAGACCGTCAAATCCACTCCTCTAAAGGGATCAGCGGCTGGAGAAGAAAGGGTTGGGGATAGTGAGGCGATCGTCCGTCAGCTTGAGAAAAGTCTCCCAAGATGGCAAGGCTTTGGAGAACTAGGGATGTCCGAGGCCAGCAAGGCGAGTATTCATGAATCGACCGCTCTCAACCGTGGTGATGTTTAATCCCCGTGTGTGTACTTACATACTTGCTATGCCACAGGACCGACTGGTCGAAATTGTGCACAGTCCTCCTAAGACTCACGCGCATGAAGACGCTCGTGACCGGACCATGCTGACCGCGGCAGGAACTTTGACTGTTCCCCCAATTGTCGACAAGCTCCCCCCTGATACGAGTGGGTTTTTTGTTCTCGTTTTCAAATATGCCTTACACCTTCTGTTAGCAAAACATTTTGATCGCTCTCCAGACACAAACGAGTTGTTCTGGTTTTCTGCTCCTCCAATGAACAGCGCCCGGACACCACCCCCACTGCATAGTTTGGCATACCTGCATTTCCTGGCGACGAAACGGAAGAAAGAACTGGCTACTGGCTCAGACACCATGGATGTCGATGGTGAAGCCACTTCGACAGGTCCTTCAAAGCGACAGCGCACAGTTGCGCCTCCAACAGTTAGCGAAATTCTACAAGCAACCTTAAATTCTGCATCTACTGAGCTCCTTTAGACATTATCCATCTATTCCCACTGGTATGATAAATTTATTTTGGTCCTCCCACCTCGTACTCATCGGTTGCCATGCCATATAGACTTAATTTCTGGCCACAAGAATTTCATCTTTTTGGCAGCTCAATCCAACGCTTGCAGTTGTCCGACCATTCATCTATTAGTTCGCCCTGCACTATATAAGCGCAAATCCGAGTTAGGCAGAACTCAGGTCAACTGTCAAGTTAAAAATAAGAATATCCGCGCACCGAAACATCATAATTGTTGCTGGATGCCAAATTTCCTTAGTGTTGAAACGTTGAAACTGATAAGTTACCCAATTCTACCACTACAATTACAACTGCATCGCGATTGGATCCATGCAGTCTTCAATGAGTGCGTCCTCGTACCGCTCAAATCCGCAGAGCGCCTAATCTTGTCGACATCGACAAGTGATGCAGAACAACTCCCAGGCTCAGCCATGTCCGCTTCGCCAGTGCCGGAATCATGGACATGATGCTCGACAAACGATGAACTGGCAGCAGCACAAATTTATTCTTCGGTTCCAGACGCTGTCATCGAAGATATCCAGTCACTACTGATTGTGTTCGGCATAATGACGTTTTAGATGACAACAAGACCGATCTGAGGACGAAATCGGCTGTAGATCAAAATTTATCCACAGTACGACCTAAATTGCGATCCTTCAGTAAGTGTCTGAGCATTCCCAGGGACTTCATATTCACCCTTTGGGACCTCAAGCTTTTTTATTGTCGACGTCTCTCCCGATCCCTTTCGTTTACTCGACCACCTTCTCTTCTGCGAATATCCATGTGACTTCGGGGTTGGAAGTCAGTTTTTTTATTCCCCTTCGCGACTTACGATACGCCGGCGGCCTCTCAGTTTGCGAGACGAGCGTCTTCGTAGCGCGAAGTTTTCCTTGTCACCATACACCCCGGTGTCACGGTTACGTGTATTAAGAACCGTTGTTTCTGTTGGACATTACTCGACGGCCTTTTCGACAATACGTATGTAAGCAATAATCAAGTTTCTTCCAGGTAGGCGAAATAGAAGGAAAATAGTCATCCCTTCTTTATTATATGGAAAAAATCGGCAGTAGTCCTCGTGCCGCGCGTACGCCTTAAAATTTCCTACGGAATACATTACGAATGCGCCCAACTCTATAGGTGTGCGCAAGAAGAACTTTTTGTAATTGATATGTAAGATCATTTCCTGACGATGCTTCTAGATTTCCTGCGGCACGCCTCCATGTTCGAGACTCATTATAGAAGCGTGGCTCATGAATATCTTGACGAGTTCTGGCGGAACTTGGAGCGGATTCATTTTACCATTCATAACTTGTGCGAGCTCGTGAACTTTGCGGCTTTTGCTGTGTTTCCACGAGGGTCTTCATTGAATAATCTCTTGGCCAGGCCGGACCTGCAGCAACATTGATCGGTGTTACAATCTTTGCATGCGCCCATTGATCAAAATTCAAGTTTTTGACCTCATCCTGCAAACCAGCGGCTTGGGACTCCGCGAGTTCAACAAGCTTAAGCATTATCGGTGCATCGCCTTCGATTGATTCTTCCCGTAAACTAGGGGTGCACTGGTTTAGACTTTTGGCTTGGCGCCTTCACGTCCGGGGAATTGGAAACTGGCCATGCGGAGTAGGTGCTTAGTGTGGGTCTCGAGAAGAGAACGATAGAAGAATGCCAGAAGCACGCCCACATCTCATGATCAATCAAATACTGTATTTTGATAACTACGGAGATTGTGTACATATCGCAAGAGGACGGGAACGAACGACTGGATGCACCAGAATGCAGCGAAGCAGAGAAATTCGCTGACCCTAAATATCGTCTATACTTGGCACGTTATACTAAAATGAAGATTGTTCTAGAAAAAAAGTCTAGAAGTACAAGAAATCCACAGAATGCGCGCGTCTCCGACATTCTAAGCCCAGAAACTTGTTACTTTTAAATCATTGGTATGGCATCGCACCGTTGTTGTTGCCTACTATGTGTGGTGTAGGGAGTCGTATTCGCCCGTGGGGGAGGTGATAGCGAACCTTGCAGAGAAGGATATGCCATCTGGGGCCGTGGGGAATACACATATTGCGACGGGGACAAGTGCCCATACAACACAGGAGAGCCGAACACTGACGGAGAAAAGTTGGATGTGTTGGACGGCCTACGGTTGGGGGTCAAGCGCGTTGTTGTGCCATCACCTCTAGCTATGAATGCCTGTTGGTTGACCACAGAGGCGTAGAGTCCTTTCTTGTACAGGTGGCGTCTGTACATCAGATAGGCGCCGATGGCGAGAAGCGAGAGGGCAGCTACAGATCCGATGGTGCCGCCAACTATCGCAGTCACGTCGGTTGATTTTGAGTTTGAACTTGAACTGGAACTGATGGATGATGATGAGGTTGACGAGGTGCCTGGAATGACGTTGACAGGATCTGGGCCGGATCAACGTTGGTGATGAAAATACGAAAGTAAACCAACATACTCTGCTCATAAATAGCGCTCGCATCTTGAATATTGAAAGTCTCATATGTCCAGTTCATCGCTGAGAAGTCGATCGGTATCATGTATTCAGAAAACAAAATCAACTTACGATTTTTAATAGCCCAGTAAGGTATGGACGCATTTCCAGCAAGCACATATTGAGATGGGAAATATCTAAAATCAATGAGCGCAGCTCAACAAATCATGAAACTTGGACTCGCTCCTCTATCCATGACGAGTTGGCACTGCACCCGGATGCCCAGGTAGGCCATCTATTTGATCGTTAATATTTCTTCAAGTTGCACGGGATGGATGACTTACGTCCAGACAGAGTCGGTGAACCCTTGACACAGAGTGCACGCCATCAAGAGATTATAGGACGACCAAGAACTGCTATATATCAGGACGGCTGGAAATGCAGTTATAGCCTCCACTTACCAATAACATGCATTTGCGGTCGAAGAATTTGGCAAGGAGTACGAATAACCGACCATCAAGGCAGGTTGCTCATAGTCTTGAAATGTACACATGAGTATACAGCCATGACTCAGGGAAAATCCACATGCTGTTCCCAATACATGAAGCCTCGACATAAGCGACTGTGAGACAAGGCGAGTAGCCTTGAGCGTCGTTCATCCATGAATATTCATTAATGCAGGTAGCAGACGAGGTGACAACACGGGCGACCGGATGAACTTGTACAGCCAGGATAGTCGAAATACATGGAATTATAGATACAAAAAGATAGAAACCCAAGAACACCATGTTGTAGAAGTAACCTGAGACGCACTGCTGGGGAATCGGCAGGGATGTAGGCAAACACGCGGATTATTCGAATGAGGGTAAGCACGTTCTTATCGTTACGTATCAATCTAGCGCTCGATAACTTGTCTGGTGACCTGGCATGAGGTAATACCTGCGGTGGACCGGACTCATGTGTTATGTTGAAGACGCTAAAACTTGATGTCAATGATCTGATGAGCGTCGAATCAGTTAACTTGGGGGGTGATGAGGTATTTTCCTAGGGGAAAAAGTAACATAGACCTGCTATCATATGGTCTCCCCCTGGGCAGACCAGATAGTTGAAGAAAGACAGCGTAGTCGATCGAAGACTGCATCGAGTCAAAGAACGTGAGAAAAAAGTCAAAGGTTGGTCAGTTACTAGTCCATCAACAAAAGAGCCTGAACCGTATATGCATATGTTCACATACATGTCGCAATGTAAGACCTTGTGTACGACTTGTGTATATCTTAAAAGCTAAATCACAGCATGCATGCTCTTGTAAGCTTCACAAGGCCTTGCATGCTTCGAGCTCTTTTGTTGATGTCTTCAAACTTCAAAGTACCGACATCGACAAGATCAAAGACAACGAGCAATCATGCTTTCCTATAATTAAGTCCTTCTTCGATCTTGGAGCCCATCACATCCTAAACGTTTCAGGCTGTATATAACCCCACACTACACAGCATGCACATCTTGTGACTATGTAGCACATGCGGTTAAAGCTGTGAAGCATTACTATAACAGTACTCAGTTCCCGCGATCAATCAACTCGCTCTGACGCCAAGGAGCCAAGACCATCTTCGAAAAACAGGTAGCTTTCATTTAGCAAGAATGGCTTTGAACTGGTGTACTAGTATCAGGTTGGTGCCTTGACGTCTGGGGAGTTGCCAACTAGACAAGCTGGAGTAGGTGCGAATTGTAGGTCTGGAAGCGAACGAAAGAACGCCGGAAGCATGCTCACATCCTACTTGGTTTCAATAAAAACATTGTTATTTTGATAATGACAGAATTATCACAAGACGATGGGGAAGACAGGATGCACTGACTAAATACGGAGGCAGAAAATCCGGGATCTCCGCCTGGCCTGTCATAGCAAGATGAGTAATATCGCGAAGGATAAGATACAATAAGTCTACAGAGCAGAATGCGCGCGTGTCCGACATTCCAGGGTATCAGAAACACATTACTTTAAATCATTGGTATGGCTTCGGAAGGTTGTCCGCTACTAGTATGTGTGGTGTAGACAAATGTGTCTGTCCACGGAGGAGGTGAGAATGAACTTTGCAGGGAGGGATATGCTCTCTGGGGCTGTGGGGAATACTGCTGCGGGGAATACTGCTGCGACGAGGACAAGGACTGCCCATATAATACAGCAGGGCCAAATGTTGATGGTGCAAGGTTGGATGAATCGAACAGATCGAGGTTGTGGGATGCCGTCCCTTTTTGGTTGATGATTGCGGCGTAAGCTCCTTTCTTGTATACGTGACGTCTGTACAATAGATAGGCACCGATGGCAACGAGCAACAGTGCAGCTGCGCCTCCAACTATGACACCCACGTCTATTGATTTTGAGCTTGAACTTGAACCGCCTGATGATGATGATGATGATAAGGCACCCGGGGTGACGTTGGAAGGATCTGGATCAGATCAATACGAATGATAAAGAAATGGAAGAATACCAACATACTCTGTTGATAAGTAGCGTTCGCATCTTGAATATTAAACGTCGCATATGTCCAGGTCGTTGCTAAAAAAAAAGTAGTCGATTGGTATCATATACTCGGAACTCGGAAAACAAAATAAGCTTACGATTTGTAGTAGCCCAGTAAGGTATTGACGCATTTCCGGCAAGCTCATATCCTCCAGAAGGGAAATATCTATAATCAGTGAGCACAGCTCAACAAATCATGAAACTTGAACAAACTCTTGTGTCCATGATGAGTTGGTAGTGCACCCAGATGCCCAGCGAGCCCATCTAATTAATAATTAATATTTCCCAAGTTACACGAGATAGATGACTTGCGTCCAGACGGAGTTGGTGAAATTAGGCCCTTGACAGAGGGTGCACGCCATCAGAAGATTATAGGACGACCAAGAACTGCTGTGATATCAAGACAATCGGAGACGTAGAGTTGTAGCCCCACTACTTACCAATAACATGCATCTGCGTTCGAAGAATTTGGCAAGGTGTACGAATTGCCGACCGTCAGGGGCAATTGGTTATAGACTTAGAATGCACATGAGTACGTAGCCAACATACGAGGAAGATACACATGCCGTTCCCAATACATGCACCCCCAACATAAGCAACTGTAAGACAAGGCGAGTAACCTTGAGCGTCGTTCATCCATAAGTAACCATCAACGCAGGTAGCAGCAGAGGTGACTGCGCGGGCATCTGGATGAACTTGCACAGCTAGGATGGTAGAAATAGAGGGAATTATAGACGATATAGAGACAAAAAGATAGAAAATCAAAGGCACCATGTTGTGCTGGCAGGAGCAGCCTGAGACGCACTGCTGGGGATGTATGCAATCGCGGGAGTTATTCGAGTTAGTGCCGGCATATTCTTATCGCTACGTTCCGGCGCTCGATACTTGCCTGGTGACCCAAGGCCATGGCGTATGAAGGTATTTTCATGGGGGCAAAGTAACACGGGCGGGAGTAAGTAGTCACTATATTAATATTATATTAATTACATAAATCTACTTACCAGATCCGTCTAAGTATAACCTTCATCGCATGTGGTGACTATAAACTATAATGTATAGTACATACTGTAGTGTACAAGCGGTTATAGTATTGTTAACCGACGACTCATTTTTACCTGCCGCAATCTGTCAATTGACTTGACTTCTGATGCCGAAGAGTCACGAAGTTCGGTAGCAGCCTTCATTCTATCATTCGCAAGAGTGACTTTGAACTGGTGTATTGGGTTGGTGCTTTTACTCTGGCGAGTTGCCTGGACAATTTGGAGTGCGAATTGTGGGTCTGGAAGAGAACGAAAGAACACCGAAAGAATGCCGGAAGCATGCCCGCATCGTACCTGGTGTCAATCAAAACAGTGATATTTTAATCATGACAGAAGTATCACAAGATGGGAAAGACGAAATACACGAAACACTGACTGAAGCGCAGGGATAAATACTGTGATCCACGCCTTGCCTGTCATAATAAAATGCGTAACATCGCGAAGGGCAATATTTGTCAAGAGACAATAAGACCAGTCTGATATTCCAAGGTATCGACTTTAAACCAGGGGTATGGCTTCGGAACGTTGCCCACTACTAGTATGTGTGGTGTAGACAGACGTCTCTGTCCGCGGAGGAGGTGAGAATGAACCTTGCAGAGAGGGGTATGTTGTCTGGGGCTGCGATAGGGACGCAGACTGCCCATACAATACAGGAGGACCAAATATTGACGGTGAAAAGTTGGATGAATCGGACGGGTTACGGTTGTGGGGTGTCGTCCTTTGTTGGTTGATGAAGGAGGCGTAAGTGTAACGTCCTTGCTTGTACACGTGGCGTCTGTACAGTAGATACGCGCCGAAGGCGACAAGTAAAAGTGCAGCTGCGCCTCCAACGGTGCCACCAACTATTGCACCCACGTCAGTTGATTTTGAGCTTGAATTTGAAGTGCTAGATGATGATGGGGTTGAACTTGAACCGCTAGATGATGATGAGGTTGCGCCTGGAGTGATGTTAGAAGGATCTGGGCTAGATTAACATCGGTGAAAGATATGGAACCGAGCTAACATACTCTGTGAATAAGTAGCATTCGCATCTTGGATATTGAAAGTTGCATATGTCCAGGTCGTCGCTAAAACCGCGTCGATTGGTATCATATACTCAGAAAATAACATCAACTTACGATTTGTAGTGGCCCAGTAAGGTATGGACGCATTTCCAGCAAGCTCATATCCTCCAGAAGGGAAATATCTATAATCAGTGAGCGCAGCTCAACAAACCATAAAACCTGAACAAACTCTTGTGTCCATGACGAGTTGGCAGTGCACCCGGATGCCCAGGTAGGCCATCTATTAAATCATTAATGTTTCCCCAGGTCTCACGAGAGGGGTGACTTGCGTCCAGACGGAGTTGGTGAAATTAGACCCTTGACATAAAGTACACGCCATCATGAGATTGTAGGACGACCAAGAACTGCTATGATATCAGAACAATTGGACAAGTAGTTGTATCCTCCACTTGCCAATAACATGGACTTTCCGACGAAGAATTTGGCAAGGAGTATGAATAGTTGTTCTGAAGGACGGGTTGGATATAATCTTGAAGTGCATATGAGTACACAGCTAAGAGACGAGGACAATCTACGTGCCGTTCCCAATGCATGCAGCCTCAACATAAGCGACTGTAAGACAAGGCGAGTAATCTTGAGCGTCGTTCATCCATGAGAATGTGTCAATGCATGTGGCAGACGAGGAGACAGCACGGGCGACTGGATGCACTTGTACAGCTGCCAGGACAGTCGAAATACACAGAATTACAGACACGAAAAGACAGAACCTCAAGGACACCATGTTGTGGGAGTAGCCTTGGGACGCACTGCTAGGGATGTGGGCAATCACGCGAGTTATTCGAAATGTTCTTATCACCACGTTATCGAGCCAGCGCTCGATGGCTTGTCTGGTGACCTGGGCCTGCAGCGGACCGGACCTACCGCAGTAAGTATTCTTTGATTTAGTCAATCTGAGCGCGGAATCAGTTGAATTGAGATTTGAAGGTATGTTCCTAAGCTCGAGCTGGATAGAATTGGACATTCGAAGACACCGGAACCTGAAAACAATGTTAGTATGTACTAAAGTTGCCACCGACGTCGACACTAGTTTAAGATAACTGATATCATAAGGTGATTAATATAATTAGGTTCACGAACTGCTTCGACTTCGGAAATCACCTGAACGCCGCAACCGAATCGTTTCAGGCTGTGCGTGTAGTACTTGCGGCTATAGCATTGGTTTCCGACCATATTCAGTTTGTCCGAAACGCCACTCACTTGAAGCTTGGCCCTTTGGCGCCAAGGTGTTGGGACCAGAAGTTTGGTATCTTCAAGGAAAGGGTGTCCCAGATGGTGCAGACGGAGGTATTCCTGGTTCACCCATTCCTATCACGGCCATTTACATTATTAACACAACAGTCCACGGGACTTCAAGCTTCATGACAGGAGGCGCAACTACTATGGCCCGCGTTTAGCCGTGCAGCATCCTTCGCCGGTCACCTCGCAGGTTCCCTCCGTTCTTTGTCCCCGTTTTCTCTCCTGGTGCCATTCGTTACCGCCAGCGGTCGGCCTACAGCTCATTGCCTCACAGATATCTCAACGTCGCGATTCGGGCTGTGTAACATCTTTCGCACAGCTTCTCCTTATCAGCCACTTCATAAGCTCTTCCAGCCTTGCTGACAAGAAACTCGAATCAAAATGGCATGCTCACTGGCACCGTGGTCCATGAACCAAGAGGGTCAAACGCCATGTGAGGTGGTTCAGATGTTGGACAACTCGTGCTCATATACATGTAAGCACTTTCTTATGCTCATATCTGTGACATGCTTGAGTCGCTTTAGATACTACCATTCCCTCTTCCTCTTCTGAGGACTCATTTATTCCTGCTGGTTCAAATGTTACTTCGTGCAGTTGGTGAGTCGCATTCGTGTAAATTCGGTGTATTTTTTGCAACTGGAATGGGCGCTCATGATGATGACCAGTTGCTGGGCAAGTTACAACTTGCTTAGCGCTTGTATGTATTGTTCCTCTGGTTCGCCATCTTTGGTGAGGTAAGTCTTCCAAATTCACTAGCCTTCAATTTAACAAATCTGGCACAGCTGGAATACATGGACGCATAATTGCGGCAGCCTGACGTCAACGTCAACGTGAGTTTTTATATGACTTACTAGTGTGTTTTAATCTGATGCGTTATCAAAGGTATTTTCCGTGGGACTCGGGAATAAGGCTTCCTTCCAATACATCGATACCCTATTATGCAGTATACAATCGTAAGTTCTGATAGCAGCATCAGCGAGCCCCCTTTATAAAAATGATCTTACAGCTAGTACCTACTCAAACGGGATATTTGACGTGAACATCGCCTCTCCTTCTGGCGGCCAGTGTAAGCTCACTCGAGTGTAACGGTCCAATGCGCACTAACTTTGATTAGCAAAACCCGACGTAATGGGAGCTCCCCTTTCCAGCACTTCGTCGGTTTCATCATCCAGTTCTTCGACAGCCCCTGTTGGCGCGATTGCTGGAGGTGTTATCGGGGGAATAGTTCTGCTACTTCTGTTGTGCGGCTTCCTCTTCTTCATTATCTATCGGAAGCGCAAAAGAGCAACTTCGTCCCCACCCAAAATGACCCCGCTTACACGGAATGGTTCACACTTCGCCGTGCCGACCAGAGACACGTCTCGTGCTCCCCTCGCACCATCAGGATACCCTCAAACATCAGCTCCGATGTCTACCTCTCCTTACACTCACCAATCTAATCATACCCGTGGTGTTTCTTCAATGACAAGCCTCCAGTCGCTCCGCATCACTTCACCCATTTCCTCTGGGCATGCAACTATGTCCCCTTTGTCACCCCCCGTCATCCCTACATCATCGCCCATCAACGATGCAGCCGATGTTATCACGCCATTCCTCGCCACCCAGCCATTAAACCGACCAACCACCCCTGACAGAAAAAACGCCCAAGGTAGCGCTGACCCCACCCCTGAACGCTCCACGTCACCACAAACTATCACTCCAAGACGTATGAACCCGCCCGCTTATACCCCGACATCTCCCACGTCCCCAAGTCATGTCCGCCCTGGGTCCAGAAAGGGAAGTGGCTCAGGGGACACGACAATCAACTCAGTTACCAACCAGAGGAGGATGCGCGCGTCGAGGATGCACTCTGGGGGGAGTGCTGACAGCACTATGTCCATTTCAACTACCGCGAGTGTGGGTATCAGGACTGCCCTTGAACGCACCACGACGTCGGCTGCTTCGCGTGGGCCTGCTGTGTAGAGAACATCTCTGCCCATCTTTTATCTTTTTCTTGGATTATCGTTGGCCTGCAGACAATACGTGCGGTATCTTACTAGGATCGTATATGTATTAATGTATTTTTCGTGCAACGGATATCTTGGAGTGCATTCAGGTTGAGTGAATGTGGTCTGTGTATAAGGATGACGGTCACTGGTGTACTGACTTATGGCACGACTGAGCGTTCGGCAGTGTTGTAGAAAATGATAGCAAGATAACAATGTAGTATACGTACAACAAGATCGTAATACAGTAAAGCAGAATTCTTCAAGCTCGAGCTCAGAGGATAGGAGGGAGTTCAACACATAGTCAATGATATCTTTCTTCTCTTCTTGACACTTAACAACATCAGCTTCCACAGAGTCCTGTATGACGACTTTATATATACAAAAATTGTCTTGTTTTGATCAAAACGGTGAGATCGGGAGATGGTCTGTACCTATATCGCTGGCCTTCTACATTATCGATAGCGCGCTTCGCTTTAACCACTCACCTCTTTGCAACAGTTCCACCACAAATTGACGAGGATAACATGATTTGCGACAGTAATGTTCAGTCCGACACCACCGCATCAATGGACATCAGGAGCACTTTCATGCAGGGGTCGTTCTGTGCGGGGCATTAGGTAGCACCAGGTAATTGTTTTGGAAGAACTTGCGACAACATCTGCCTTCATGAGAGCGTTTACACCCACCGAAATGGAGAATAAAAATGCATGAGCTCGTTTGGCCACAAGTAATCTACCTACTCATGTGCCCCTCATGAACTTTCGCTGTTAGTCCATCACTAAATCTTTCAATTTCGCGCATCCATTGCTCGCGGAGAGACACTAGGAACAACAACTCTTTATAGACCGTGAGTAAGACATCAGTGGCAAGGTAACATCGGGTTTACAGTGTCGTCTTCGGCCGAGCAAGGGGCGCTTTGCCGGAGCCACGGGTCCTAGAAGAAGGAAGCACAGTCAAGTTCTTGAGATCTACCGCTTTCCACTCTTGAAGCGTCTTCCTTATCAATGCGATGGAAGTTATGGTCTTTCCGAGTCTTTGAGTTTGAATGAGTGATAGAAGCATTCATTCATGCGCGTTTCACGCACCCCATCTCGTGCGCGAGTATCGAACCTCCTTGTCCTGCTTTCTCCCGCTCGAGCAACCACTCGAGGTCCATCGCTTGATGCTTGAAAAGAATGAGCGAGGAACCCAAAGGAACGGACCCACCATCCATGTTGTCTGCTGAATTGATAGACTTCGGCTTTTTCTGAAGCTTATTAGGCTGACAAAGGTTCAAGCATCGGTGCCATTCACCGGAGTGGTAAGCACAAAGTCGCGGGCAATATTCGTATTAATATGTGGGGTTGCATGCATGTTGTTTGCTGCGACAGTGATAGGCTTTGGCTTTTTCTGAAGCTTGTTAGGCTGATGAAAGTTCAAGCCTTGGTGCCACTCACCGGAGTCGCAAGAATGAAGTCGCGGGCGATATTTGCACTGATAGGTGGGGTTGATTCTCCATGTTTCAAGTTTTTGGGAGCGCCGGAAATCTGAGTGGATTTTGATGACTTCGGGACTGAGGACGGCGTCACATTGGTGCGGCGTGGAGACTGAGAACAGCACCGATGAGAATGTCTTGCTAAGGAGATGTAGAAGTGATGCTTGCCTCTTTTCGATGGCCCTCATCTTCTAATGATGCAAGAAATAAACTGAAGGCGGATATGTATGTGATTTGATACCTAGATCAGGAGGACCTGCCAGAGACTGCGGTCTCCCGAAGCTCTTTGCAATATTCTTTGTCAGTGGTGGCACCAGGGGAACTTAAAAAGTCATTGGGATGTGCTGCACCTCGTTTTGTTGTTTTCCGAAGTAGATGTTTCATAACAGGTAAACCACCACTAATTGTTTTTTGCTAGAATAAGGACACATAAAGCGGATAGCAGCGATAACAATATGAAAGCATTGTAACCCATGTCCAAAGCGCATTCGCACATCCCAATCAGACGAGAACAAAGACACTTTGTTTCCGTCATGAAGACCATGGCAACCTGTTCATTGTGATCACTGCACTTGTGGTATAGTATATCCTGAGGGAGCTGAGAAGGGCAAGTCACCGATGAGATCAAACTTACTATGAATGAGTATCGCAGCATAAAAAGAGTCGTCATGGCGAACATGTCGCTTTTTCAGTAGCCAGTGAAGCGTTGGTGAGCTAGCATGCAAAGGGGAATCCTGAGGTGTTTGCAAGTTTTCTGGGAGTACAGGCTTGAATAGCAACATGGTTTGAGCACGGGGAACTTCTTGAAGGTAGCCGCAATGTAGTGAAACGTTCTGGTTCGTTCACGCGAAACCTGATCGCTTCATTGCACTGTTCAAATAGTGTCTCGAGTATGTCTCGCTGGAAGACGAGGTCATGAATGCACTAGAAAATACGAATATCGTGAACCCACGAGCTTCCGTGTAACTAGAAGCTAAAGCCGCGGACTAGGAGATGTTGAAGCGTACTCAAAGCTTACATAATCTGATCGCCTCTAAGATAATATCATGTTACTGCCAGCCACTGGTAGGAGAGACCCTCCATCGGTGTAGTCTTCAGTTCATGCGTGTCTGAGTTCGGACCAATTGAACGTTCATGTCGAACTGAAATGTCGAGTTTCATGTCATTGTTCAACGCTTCCCGGCATCCAGCGACAATGAATCCTCGCGACAGGCCATCAGACCCACTTTCACGTCTCCGCTACGCCTTCGAAACGATGCCAAGTTCACGAAAGTATATTTTCTCTCCCGCAACCCGTGCGGAAGTCCTATCAGAGCTTTATGATGCATTCTGGGGACCCTATTCACATCTCTTCCTCCCATTGTCCAATTCCAGTCTCCCCATGCACGCCACTCTCAGTAGCGTTCAAGCAGATCTGGGCTTTGCTGGTGCCGGTTCAGAGGATCCTGTCGTTGAAGGAAGGCCCTGTGGACATATCTTCAGCAAGGGAGAGAGCTGTTTTCGTTGCAAGTTAGTAATCCGATTACTATCCTGCCAGACATTCACAATACCCCTTCAGAGACTGCGCTCTCGACGATAGTTGCGTTCTCTGTAGCCGCTGCTTTCATTCCAGTGACCATTCGGATCATAATGTCAGCTTCTTCGTCGCTCAGCAGGCCGGCGGCTGCTGTGATTGCGGAGACATCGAGGCCTGGCGTAAACCTATCTCATGTCCTTTCCATCCACTTGCTCCCCATATCCAAGAGCAGATTGAACAGTCCTTGAGTGCAGTCGACGACACTCCTCGACCTGTACAGCGCCCCATATCTGACGAGATTCCATTCGTTGAGAATTACCCGTACAGAGTCGCTATCCCGCCCGATTTACGTGATCTCATGAGTCGTACTATTGCATATGCATTCGACTTCATCCTTGACACCCTGGACTACTCCCCAGATGAAGCGACCGTCCCTTTAAACGAGGCTGATCTGCGATTACAACCCTCAGCAGATCCTATGCAGAAGGACCAATATGCCATCATCATTTGGAACGACGACAAGCACTCATTTGACGAAGTCATCAAGCTTATATGCGAAACCACAGGTCATGATAGGAAGACAGCAAGCATCATGGCGCACTCTATTGACGATGCGGGTCGGGAAATCATTGACATCCACGGTGACGTCCCCCGGCTCCTCGAGGCAGCGCATTTAATGACAAAGATTGAGCTCGGTGTCACGATTCGTCGTGCATACGATACTTTCCGCGAGCAGGTCGCTTGTGTCATTATTGAGTGGCTGCTGGATCTCACTCGAAGCCGACTGGGGGTGGATACACTGATAATCAAGGAAATCATTGCTGCCGAGCTGCTGTCGCCGAGACGGCGGGAGAACACATTCTTCACTTCTGGTCCGCAAATCCCAAACCTCGCCACAGATCTGGCGCGTCCATGCCGTATTGATTGGTTGTTCATCTACCACACTCGACTATGGAAGAAACCCCGGATACATTTGAAGGCAATTTATGCGTCGATCTTGATACTTTCGCATCCCCATAAGATTGCCATCGGTATGTCACGATGAAGTCTGCGTTACAAACACATTTTGATGTATTACAGCGTCTCACTTTGCCAGTATCTACCATCGCGTCGCTGACGCTTATCTTCTTGTTGACCGTGAAGCGGAAACATCCATAAAGTATTTCGCCCTTCAACTTTTCACAGCGCCGTCTGTTGCCCTTCATATTGTCCACCAACATGATCTCATGACACGTCTGCTCGACATCATCGTCAACTTCTTCACCAATCACATCGAGGACAAGCACATCCTCACCACGACCCCTGCCCAACAAGACATAGACGTCGAAAGTCCCCCATTTAGAAGCAAGCGGTTCATGCCCGTCTTCAGCGATCTCCGGTATCTCTGTCACAACCGGCCTGTCCAGCAGCTCATCGCTCGTCACCCGAACTTCATACGCAAGTTCGTGAAGGTATGCCAGGTCTTCATGTGTATCAACCCAAACAAGCGCATCGCATCGAGCCACATCGAGTATGAGACGGACGTGTGGATCAGCGTGTTCAACGTAACGCTTTCGCTGTCCCGCGTCATCAAGGTCTATGGTGAAGCCTTTGAGTTTGCGAACCCAACGCAGCTTGTAGGGGCAATCACAACTGTCGTGCGGGAAATCCTCGCCGTGTGCACGCTCACGACGGACAGGCTCGACAAGGCCAAATTTTCAAAGCCGATGCTGCACGAGGTGGAGTTTGGCGACGCTCAGTATCGGATTGTTGATTTCAACGTGCTGGAAGGATGGGTCAGTTTCCATCACTCGCTCCACTGGCTCCTGGCAGATCTGCTGAAGCATGTTGATATCTTGTCGGAGGAGTCGTTGAAGCAGATCGGGGTATCCGGTGTCCGAGACCTGTTTTTGCGCCCGTTTAACGAGGGCGCGATTCTCACATTAATCGATTTCCCTTTACGAGGTAAAATGAACTTATCAATATTACGGCTTGTCTAACATCATGGCTTCGCAGTGCTCGCTATGATCGCCCAGATTAGGGCAGGATTATGGGTCCGCAACGGTTTCCCTATCCGCGGCCAGCTCCTGCACTACCGCGATTTCATGCTCCGCGAGCTCTGCTACGACCAAGACCTATTCATCCTCCAGTCGTCCCTCATCATCCTTGATCCCAATATCATCATCGTCTCCATCCTAGATCGTTTCGGCCTCCTCTCATTCTTCCAAGGCGAAGTCGAGAAATCCCCCTATGAAGGCGCCCATCTTCTGAGCATGGTCGAAGAGGTACTCTATGTCCTCATAACTATTCTTGGTGAGAGAGCCAGCGCCACGAAGCTTCCATTCCAGCGTGCTATCCGCCGCGAGATTGTGCACGCGCTCGCGGCGGGGCCAAGTTCATTCACCGACCTCGCCAAGCGCGTCTCAGAGAGGATGGTGGATGATGTATCTTTCGAGCGCGTCCTCAAGGACGTATCTCACTTCCGCGCTCCAGAGTCGACGTCCGACACAGGCGCATACGAGCTGAAGGACGAGGCATATGATGAGGTGGATCCGTTTACCTTCCACTACACGCGGAACAAGCGTGAGGAGGTTGAGGTCATCCTGAAGAACAGACTCCGGAAGAAGACGGGCGTGGAAGATCCAGTCATCGTCCCCAAGCCGCTGGCCATCACGTCCGGGCCATTTTCGATACTCCCGTCCGTCCTGGAGTCTGAAGCCCTGCTTCAGGTTATGTTCTATTCCATATACAACGTGGTTGCGCTCACCAACAGTGCGGGTACGGCCCCGCCCTCCGCTGAGGCTATCCTCGACCAGGCGTTCCAGCTCATCATGCTAGCGCTCGTAGAACGGCCGGCTGTCTTCAGTCACGTCTCTGTCATTAAACCCTTTGCCGAAGGCAAGAAACTCGCCGACATCATATGCGCCATGGAACATGATGAAAAATACAAACCCTACAAGAGCCGCGTTGATTGGATTCTCACAGAGATGTCCAAGCATGTTCCGGACGGGATACAGCCTCCTCGCATAATCTTGAGCCCTACTACGTCAGCGCCTGATGTTGAGAGCGCCAAGAAACGGGCAGCTAAGGCACGCCAAGAGGCTATCATGGCGCAGATGAAGGCTCAACAAGCGAGTTTCTCACTCAATTTCGAGGAAGAGGAGGAGGAAAATGATCAGGATATGGATGAGACGTCCGATGAACTTTCCTCGTATGGCACCTGCATTGTCTGCCAGGAAGATCTCAACGAGGCCAAAGCGTTTGGTTCTCTGGGCCTTGTGCAACCCAGTCGATTGCTTAGGAAGCACCCAGACAGTCAGTGTCAATATCTCAACGAGATTATGACAATGTCTCCGTCGCTCGATCGAGCGACTCCGCGCGACACCACTTTTCCACCAACCAATGCCGAGGAGCTCGACAGCACCAGCCCGCCCAACTTCGATGGCTTCCCTACACAGTACACTCGCTTCGGGCTCCACGCGTCCGTGTGTGGCCACATGATGCACCTCGACTGTTTCCAAGTGTACAATTCCTCCATTCGCCAGCGGCACCGCTCACATGCGACGAGAAATCATCCTGAAAACATCCAGCGCAAGGAGTACATCTGCCCGTTATGTAAGAGCTTGGGCAACGTCCTTCTCCCCGTTCTTCACCCTAGCAATGCTCCCGCAAGCCAAACCTCATTCCCAGACTGGATTCGAGCCGCGGGTATAAGCGTCTTGAAGTCCAAACCAGATAGCGTCATGGATGGTCTGCAGTTTAGAAGTGGGACGGGCGAATTTGTGTTCTGGAGCGCTCAGGATCCTGGTTATGGCGCCGCTGTGCGGAAGCCGGAAGCAGTGGCTTCGACGAAGATGCTCGATACCCTTATGCTGACATCCAGAATGGTCTCGCAACAAACGCGCCATCTTCGCGAGCGCCCTGAACCGGAAGTAGGAGAAAGAGGCGCCGGAATGTATCTTCCGGAAGACCTTGTTGGATACACGATTTCCGCTATCGAGGTCGCTGCTCGTGGGACTGATGCCTCGGGAGGTATTGTGGCGGATTCGCTCTCGCTATCGGATACGCAAAGCAGAATGATTCGTGGGTTGCTTGCCAGCTTGACAAGACTTGCTGGTCTTGAACTGGATGGTCGGCCAGACGGTGGCCGGGAATCGGTCAAGCAGGCCATAATCAAACGTCTGCTCCCAGAGTGGAGTCGCACATCACTGACCTCCTTCGCATACCCCTTGCTCTTACGCGACCCATTCACCGTCCTCATCGAAACTGCCGCAGTAGCTCCCGAGATGATGCAGCATGTCCTGATCTTGTGCTACTACGCCTGTTTGGCTCGCACAGTCATCGGCATGGTTTATGTCCTCAACAAGGCCAGGACGTACACCGCTTTCCAGCAGCCCGCTGCTCGTGCTCATGCTGATATCTTCGGCGATGTCCGCATGTTCTTCATGTCTGTCGTGCGACACTCACCCGTCTTCGAGCACACTGCTACGCTAGTCTTTGATGCGTTTGGTGAAGCTCGTATTGAGAAGATGCTATATGCATTTACCCTTCCATTCCTCAGACGGGCAGCAATCCTATGTCGATCCGTCGTCCCGCTCACATTCCCAACTTCATTACTAGGTGCCTCCAACGTCAACGAGTATAAACGCCTACTGGCTACCCTCGGCATTCCTCCCTTGGCAGACCTCCCAAATCAAGATACACTTCAGAACGCCCTCTCGGGATGGTGCGCCCACTACGGCCACTCTCATGCAGCCTCGCAACTCAATTGTGGCGTTGTGCTTGACTACGCGGCTGTGTATGGGATCGCCCGTCTGCCGCTGATCCTCGATAACCTCTTTGGTGAGCGAGACAAGGTGATGAAATGCCACCGATGCAACACCGTTCCGACCGATGCTGCAATTTGTCTGATCTGCGGAGTGACGTGCTGTATGGCGAGTCACTGCTGTCAAGACGAGTCAGGAGTTAGAGGGGAGTGTAATATGCACACACGAGAGTGAGTCATCCACGTTATGCCACGACATGATACTGATTCCTTGGGGTCACAGGTGCGGCGGTGCCATTGGCGTGTACTTCGTTGTAAAACGATGCTCGCTGCTTTATTCGTATGCTAGCAACGGGACATTTGCACAGTCCCCTTATCTTGATGTTCATGGTGAGGTCGATGTTTCAATGAGGTCAGTCAGTTCGCTGCTGTATCTTAATCGAATATTCAACTATGGCGTACAGACGCGGTCGTCGTCAATACATACACCCAGCTAGGTGGGAAGAAGTCCGCAAAACGTGGCTCAACCACGGCATCCCAACTGCTGTCGCTCGTAAGCTCGAGAGCACGGTCGACAGTGGAGGATGGGAGACACTTTGATTTTGATTTCTTGAATGACAGTCTTCATCGTAATTTTCGCAAGAAACTGTACATCGCACATCATCTGTATACAAGTAGCTAGAGGACAATTAGATCTTCGATCATTTTTATGTGGAATCGCTAGTTTTATGTGCTGAAAGTGCAAATTTCAACCTTTCCGCTGTCCGTTCGGTGCCAAGAACATCAATGATCTCAGGAAGACTGGGTCCCGCTTTCATCCCAGATAGCGCATGCCTCAAAGCAGTCATGAAGACTTTTGGCTTCAGGCCTGTTTTCTCGCACGCATCATGCAAGAAAACTCCAATGTCAGATTGAGTTGATGGTGATGAAGACTCAAGTTGCAGAATAGTTCGTCGCAGTGCGTGGTCTACAATTAGGCACGGTGATCAGTGATGTCAACTACTGGCGTGGTAGTGCGCGACTTGCCATAGTCATCAGCTGATATCCCTCGCTTCATACCGTGCGCTTCAGGCAACGTGTAGTCCAGTTCCACGAAAAAGAACGGAGCGAGTGTAGGAACGTCATGAAGATTTGTTATGCGACCCTGAGTGCATTATAACTATGACTTCAACCAGTAGTTGGTATATGCTTACCTGCAAGACGCTGATCACACGCGTGATGTACTCCACAGAAGTGTATCGACTAGAAACAATCAGTTAGCAAAGTCAGATATTGATAGATGAACGGACTACCTGTGAGGGAAAGCAGCCTTCACAACATCATGTACTCGCTTTGCCTGGAAGGCAATCCCTTGTTCGTTCTGCCAGCTCCGCATCAGGTGATGTTTATTAAGATATGCGAGCTTCGTAGGATCAAGAACATTCCTGCGGTGCGTGAGGGAAGATAAATCAAACTGTAGAATCAAACTGTCGTAGAACACGTAAAGAACACATAAAATAGTAACAACGCACCTGATCGATGAGTTCTGGAAGCGTCATGAGGGTTGTACTGTCGGGAGGCTGAGTCGGGGGCGTTCCGGACGGCGAAGCATGGCCATTTTCGTGGTGCACGCCCCACCCGGCCAGTGCCAGCCAATTTAGAATAGATTCCGGCTCCCACCCACGGCGCTATGGGGAATGGTGTTCAAAGTTTGTAAGTGAATGAAAGTGACGTACCATAAAATCTAGGACAGACACATCTCCGTTGCGCTTTGACATCTTTGTTCCATTCGGATTCAGGAGGATGGGTAGATGTGCGAACTGCGGGGGCTTGAGGCCCAGACATGAATACAGATCGAGGTGCAGTGGTAGTGAAGGTAGCCATTCCTGGAATGCATGAAATTTGAGGACGTCGCATCATGGAGGTATGAATACCCACTTCTCCGCGTAGGACGTGAGTGATATCCATCTCATGGTCGTCAATAACGGATGCCAGGTGGTATGTAGGGAACAGATCAGATTTCAGAAGAACAGGATCTGTCGGAAGTGAGGCATGTGCATCCCTAACGGTGCCGAAAACGATGTCGGTAGGTGAAGACCTGTCTGGGAGGTTGTCATCCTATGAGTTGTAAGCATGAGGTCTGCCTGCACAATATATGTACTCACATTCAGCCTAACGATGGACTTCTCCCCAGCACGTACTCTCCGCGCAACTTCTTCCTCAGTGAGATGGAGGCAGGACTTGTCGTACGTGGCATTCGACCCCGTGCGTGCAAGCTTCTCGCGGGTGGCAGCAAGTTTATCAGGTGAGCAAAAGCACCGATATGCATGACCAGACTACGAATTGGCGATGGTTAAATGAAGAGTAGAGAAGTAATGAGCGAACGACGGACTTCTAGGAGCCTGCGTGTATATGAATGGTAAAGGTCTAGCCGTTCTGACTGGTAGAGCTCAGTATACGGGGTGCGCGACAGATTGTAAAGCACCGACTTGGAAATATGGCCCATGCGGCCCATCCATTCCAGGACCTGGATGAAGATTCATTTAGTTGTTTGAGCTAGAACGTGACGTGCAGCATACCGAAGTCATAAGGAAGACCAGCCCATGCCAATGCATTCCTAATGCCGTCCACTGCGGTCGGTACATATCTCGCCTGGACACACATCAGATTTTGCTGTGATTCATAGAGAAGCATAGAACTGACCGCGTCTGTGTCTTCTATTCTGAGAATCCATCTGCCTCCGTGTTTTTTGGCGAACAGGTGGTTGTACAGAGCGGTCCTGAGTCCACCGAGGTGAAGAGCACCAGTGGGAGAAGGTGCAAATCTCAAGAGAACCATACCGCGACTTGACAGGGCAGTACTGGCAGCAGCGATGAACTCGAGTTAATTAGACAGGGTTACTGGTTAACCGGTCGAAGCTTGAAGCAAGTAGTACACCGACTTGGATAATTTGACTACTGAGTAGCTTGGTGAATAACTTGGACCAGTCTCCCCTAGACAAACCATAACCGAATCAGGATAGTCGTTCCTAAACTTGTCCTAAACAAATACTAGTCCAACCACAAGTGCGCACTCCAATTGCGACGGATGTCTTATTAACCTAACCTAGCTATCTTGGCATACCTCAGATATCTGATATGTAGTGTTATGTCCCCATCGACCATCTATTCCTTTATTCAGAATATCAGGGAAAACATATCAAGACACATCCCCGCCACAATAAGTATCATGGAATCACATAAATCAGTCGGGCAAGCCCTACCTCTACCACCTCGCGATATCTGCCTCAGCCTCTCCAAACAAACTTGTCTTCTTCACCGCAAAGTCCCCCTCAGGGGTGTCCTCCTCATCTTTCTCATATAATCCTGGAAACTCTCTTCTGAGAAATCGGAGTACGTGCGTGTTGATTTGCTCGAATTCAAGCAAGAAACCGTCGTGCCCGTCAGGCGATGGAATGACGACGAGTTCTGCATCGGGTATGTGCGTTGCGAGCTCCTTTTGTTCAGAAGGAGTGAACAGGCCGTCTGTTTCGACGCTGATCACCAATGCGCGTGGGGGGAGAGTTGCAAGCACAGCGGCCAGAGCGGTCGACTGTGCGGTCGGCGATGGAGTATCTTCGGGAGTAGACGTCCGTCCTCGAGCGACATCATGCGTATCCATCTTGCGGGTGATATGGATGTAACAATTAGCGTCAAAGCGCGCCACGAATTTGGCGCCTTGATAGCGCAGGTACGATTGCGCTGAAAAAGGTGGAGGGGGTGAGATAGACCCCGTGCCCTTCTGCCCTTCTGTTGGAGAATGACGTGGAGATGACGTGGCTGAGGTTTGAGCTTGGGAGCGTATGCGGGTCACTTTTTTGTGACCCTCGTTGTGAGCAGCAAGATCCTGATCAGCAAGTGTAATAGATGAAGGTGTGACGGCGCTAGACTCCACAGGCGGAACTTGCGGGCGACGTCCAAAGCGACTCTCGAAAGAGTCGCGCGATCGATAAGTTAATAGTGCGGCCATTCGAGCGGCAGATAAACCTGTTGAAGGTTGTGTTGCATAATACCCGTCGTCGTAAAGGGGATCGCTATAAATGCTTTGTCGCTGTGCCTCTCCCCAACTGATACACCAAGCAGAGTGCCGCGCAGACGTAGCCAAAGGAATGATATGGCGGACATAACCTGGGGGGCTGCATAAAGGCCATTCAAGCACAGCCATTCCGCCCATCGAGCCTCCAATGGCTACAGCAACACTAGAAACCCCCAAATTGTCAAGAACGAGCTTGTGCAGTCTGCCAGAATATCAGGTCAGGGATCATTGGAAACAGCGAAAGGCTACCCACCGCACATCATCACGTATTGATGTCTGGGGGAATTCTGGACCATAAGGTTTCTCTGTCTCTGGATTAATCGTCACAGGAGAGGCCGATCCATATGGTGAGCCCATAACATTAGCACAGAAAATGAAAAAGCGATTGGGGTCGAAGGCCTTTCCACGTCCGATAAGAGGGCCCCACCTAGGAAGCATAAGAACTCCTCTAAAACGAATAACACACGAATTCTCACCAATCTTCTACGTCTGCGCTGCCAGTGAACGCGTGACATATGACCATAACATTGTCTCTAGTGTCATTCAGTTTGCCCCAAGTCATGTAGGCAACCGGGACCTCCCGCAATATCCTCCCATTCTCAAGAGTAAAAGATGGAACAGTGTAAATGTTTTGATCGACCAAGGGTGCAAGAACAGACATGATGAGTCACTTAACCACTCGGATCGTGATAGCACACAAACGTTGCGAAAAATAGATGAAAGAGATAATGATAATGTCGAAAATTGAGAAAGGAAAGTGTGTCTACATAGGCTAAGCAGACATGACGGTAAATGACTCAGAGTGCTTCCGTGGCATCGGAAATATAAGGACTTGAATGGGAACTCATGAAGAATCGGCAGCTTCTGGATTCAACAACAGCAAACAACGCAAAATGTCACCACCATCAATCTCACACCTGGGTTACCCAATAAGTAAGCCTTATTATACTGGGTGATCGAGCGCCTCGCTAACTATTACATAGCTTAGTTGCGTTATATCCCAACACCAGCATTAAACCTCGCCCTAAATACTGTATTACTTACTACTAACTGTTAAGTATTGTATGTACCGAAACGGGTAAGCGACACTTTGTTCCCACACCGCGGACAGCACTCTGCACGTTTCCGAAACCTTCGTGCTCGCTGTTGCCCACAGCGAGCTCAACTACTGCAGTATTTCACTACATACATGATAACCCGAAAGTCGTGGTATGTTCAAAAATCTCGGAATGATAACCAAAAGCAGTAGAGTCCTACTCTATTGTCCTGACTCCTCATGCCCTCATTGTCGTCGATGATGAGCTACGTAGCGCCGCGCGTCGGGTCGCAGTACTGGCAGGTGCGTGGTGTACTTGTACTGTCCTTGTATGGTAATTATTTATTTACTAGTTGCGGTTTGACCGCTTTTGACCCATCAGCCCCTTGCATCACTTTCCCGTTGACTCCAAACCCACCTCAGTCCGCGCCAGTCTTCCCCGGAAGCCTTCACGAGAACGTAGCCCTCGGCACCGTAGGCAAAGGCAAACGTACAGAGGACGTTAGTAGAGGCGAAGTAGAAGAAGCATGCAGAGTTGCGATGCCCGAGTCTTGGGTGCTAGGTCTAGATCAAAGCTACGAGACGCTATTAAGTGGCACGGTGCAGAAGGCATTCAGTTGAGCGGTGGATAGTGTTGTTGGCAGAAGTCTGCCATTCTGCCAATGGCAATTGCCAAACGGCAATTGCCGGCAGTAGGTCGAGGTCGTTGGGCAGAAGTCGGCAGAAGTCAACGTGAATCTTATTTGAATTATCATCAAATAGAATATGTTTGACTTCGAATAAGTGTATCTGAGCCTCCGTGCATGCCAATATGTCCTCGAAAAAGTCTACGGGCCGCCCTACTCGAAAAATCATCACCAACCACTTTATCCAGGATCAAAAAGTCCAAAATTCATCCAACCGTTATTTTTACAAATGCAACTACTGTTCGACGTCTATAGAAGGTCGCGACGACAAACATCTCAAGCATATTCTTGACCGGAATATTTGCCCTACGGCTCCAGATCACGCTCGCACAGAAGTCCGTAACTATCTCGCTACAAAGAACGGAAATCAAGCACTACTACTCCCACCTATCGTGGATGCAGATTCTTCATCCCCGTCAACTTCAGGAGACACAGCTAAAGCTCCACAGAAACGGAAGAACCTCTTTGGATTCGTGGATCTTCCAGTCACTCCAGAGCAAGCAACACGTGCAAATTTCAAATTGTTTCAGTGAGTTCAAGTGTCACAAATCATTGACTGTGTACTGACTGCGTGAATATTAAACCCACAGATTCATCGTTCACGCTAATATACCTTTCTTGGTTGCGGAGAACTGGTTTTTCCGTAACTTCCTTGAGTTCTTGGTATGCACTTGTTCTCCAGTCAATGAGTGTCCGTGATCATAGGTGCGAAAAAATATGACTACTATCAGTTTGAGCAAAGAATTAAATGAACTATAGACAATCACTTTCCCATTTATGTCTGCGGGAAGACGCACAGAAGAAGATCGGAGGCCTCTCACCTGTTGCCCCAGATATTGTCACCATTGTCCTCCACGACGCAGAGTTTTGGCCTGCCATTGAACAAGGGATCAAGGTTATGAAGCCAATTGTTGACCTTATCGGAGATGAGGAGTCCCGCGATTCGTCACTCGCTTCCTGCATGCTTGGGCTAATTCGGCTTGCGAAGACAATCTCTCAGTTGCCAATTGAAGAAGGAGATAATGTTCACTTCTGGCAACACGCAAAGGCTGTCTTCAACCGGCGTTTTTTTGCAATGAACACAAAAACTCACAGTCTTGCGCTATTCTTACACCCAATGTGCCGAAAACTTGTGATTTTGCAAGCCATAAACGGACGTTCGTTCAAATTTATGGTGGAGGTAGCTCTCGACATTGCTAAACAGTGGCAATGGAGCGAACAGCTTGCAAAAATGCTCGTTGCTGACTTAAAGGATTATCACAAATGCTCTGGAGTATTTTTGGGAGGGCAGGCTGACGCACTCAATTGGTAGGAAACCCTCCCCATCAGTGCCGAGCGCTGTCCATTGAAGGCATTTGCGATCATAATCCACTCAATCGTACCTCATGCTGCTGATGTCAAGCGTTATTTCTCGGGTCTGGGTGGGGTACAATCTGTGAAGCGCTGCAACCTATCAGTTCAGACTTTCGAGTCTCTGAGCAAACTCCGGGCAAGCTATGCAAATTTCTTGCACAAAGTGGATCACGAAGCTGGCAAGCCAGCACATCGCAAACATGCCCATATGCACACTCGGCCAGAGCACGGACTCGACACAGCCTTGGCAGATGAACTTCAAAGGTCGTTTGCATGGGTGCCACCACTCACTGGTGCCTCTCGCAACTCAGACAACGAATTTCTTGCAGGTCCCGAGTCAATTACAGATGAGGAGCTGCTCGAAGAATTTGACAGATTTGAAAATGAGATGCTGGAGTCACGAGGCTTGCAAGAAGGTACTGGCGAAGTCCCAGATATTTTCGGGGGAGATATTATTGATTGGGATGAGCTGGAGAAAGTCGATAAAGGAATTACACCTGCAGGGTTTGTTGAAGAGATTGATGTGGTTGGCTGTGGGTCACAAGGCACGGAGGCAGCCTGGAATATTAATGCGCTGTTGACGTCAGAGGGTGTAGCATCCATCCAATAGCTTAGATAATTTTTTGCCGTTATCTTAGAACACACAGAAACCCTCAAAACAATTCTGCCAACTTTTGCCATTCTTCCAATTGCCGTTCTGCCGTTTTTTTGGCAGAACTTGCCCCAAAATACTTCTGCCCCCTACACTAGCGGTGGACAACGCCAGAGATTTGCAATCGCACGGGCGTGGATACGTGACCCTGACGTCTTGATTCTTGGTAAGTTCCCATCTCCCTCTCATATTCTTACCCTAATCTTGTAATCTCGTTTCAGATGAAGCAACATCAGCCTTAGACCCCCCAACTCGCGCACTTATCATGGCCGCTATTTGCCGATGGCACCAAAACCGCACCACCACCATCATCACGCACAACGTCGCCTCAATCGAAGAACAAGACATTGTCTACATCATGCGGGAAGGCTCTGTCGTCAAGCAAGGGTTCTGATTGGACCTCCTGCAAGTGGATGACGTTGAAGACGAGCTTCCTGGATACGACGCAGTTGCAGATCCTCGCAGCAGAGGATGACGATGAGGATGAGCTCCTGGTTCATGAATGACACATGAGCATGGCGTCTACGCTGGGTGGTATGCGCCCTGTCACTGCGATACTTGGAAACTGGATATTTGATGTTGTCGCGGAACTTACGAAGACGAGTGTACCTCCACCGCCTATTCCTCTTGTGGCTGAGTGGTAATGATGCTGCAGTTATAATTGCGTGACGTCTGAGGTCCTGGGTTCAATTCCTGCCAATTGCAAATTATCATATGTGAAATTGATCATGTGATGTGGCATTGCAACATTAATCTTTTGGCATGATTCCAGCCCAACTTCAGCATATTTTCAGAGTATGCTTTCAGAGTACAAATTCAGAGTAAAAAACGGCAATATCAGCACCTCTGTTTCAGCTCTTAATGCTCTTTGTTTCACTGAATTATCTTCTGATTTCATCTAGTGAATTTCATTGAAACTACTACCCACAGTGTTCGGATGCTTCCCAAACTAGTTATCATTTTGATCATATCTTTGACCATATTAGCTATGGTGGGTAGTGAAACAAGAAGAGGTAGCTGTAGACTCACGTCGAATAGTAAGTGTTTGAAATGATCCGAGATTGGATAGGTGAGTCAATCTCTTCAGCTTCTTTTTTGACACTACACAGATGTATCCCAACTGCAAGCTTCAGACCAGAGAACAGCAAAATCAAACAAGAAGGCGTCTTTGTAGTGACCCAGGTTTGGGAGCACAAAGGTAAGTAGTCATACGACCACCCATGTGTCTTTGCTCACAGGGTCCAATCCAAGTCAATCACCAGGGTCACTGGTAGCCTATCAACGCTAACGCTAACGCCCTGCGATGCTCGCATTTCCACTCATTCCATCTCCACGTCAAGGAGTGCCAATGTACACATGTATTCTGTACATAAAAAATGATAAGTCTTCATGAGATGCCCGCGACGCACATGAGGACACCTAGCATGAGAACAGCCAAAAAAACTGTTTGAAGCTAAAAGGCTGTTGATCAAGAAGAATCATCCTGTCTGAAGTTGAATGAAACAAAGAAGAACGTGCTAGTCTAAAAAAACTGACCGAAGCTCAAAGAGATCAAGATACTTATGCCAGTCTCGTTGGCCCTAACGCTACTCGCTGATCATCCAGACAAGAGTGATGAGCAGCTAAATAATACCCACAAGGAGGCTTGATACCAATGGTCACAACTGCCGTCATACTAGCTAACATGTGGGTAGAGGACAGCGCTGTGCAGGGCAGTGAGCGAGAGTGCAGTGGGGGACAGTGCAGCATGCTGAGGGAGGGCACGGGAATTGAGGGAGCATTGAGATAGTGCCTGCTAACGGAGGGCTCGGGGGACTGGGCATTGAGGACTAGAGGAATTCGAGGGAGACCCTCCTGGGGAGGATGGTCTTTCAGCCTAGTTTCCCTTAACAAAGCAACCAGGCTGAGAGACCGTGTGAACCTCTTTGAAGTGGTGCCAAGAATGAAACAATGTATAGAGAGCAAGGTGGATATGATAACCTGGCTATACTTAGCCGTTGCAACACATGGAGGTCTGAGGCATCGTGTGTTGGATGGTGTGGGTGAGGAAAATAGACCCTGTGTGAATCAGAAGTCTAACAAGGGTGCAAGGCTTATACTCGTCCCGAGGGGATTGCTACTGGGTAGCGAGTCCTCGAATAAGTGCGAGGAAACAAAGACTAGACTCTGTCTAGCGACCCGAAGGGTTCCGGTCCTTACTAAGACTGGGAACACAAAGATGCGGAGGGTTCCCGATGAGCGGAACTCAGCGTGCGATGAGCGGAACTACGGGGAACTAACAGAACTAACGCGGAGCAAACAGGACAAACGGGGAACAAACAGAACTAATGGGGAACAAATGGAGGGAAAAGAAACTACAAGCCTGCAGGAGGATGATTGGGCAAAGTCGGACCAGGCTTGTGTCTGGTACTTGCTCCAAGTCGTTGGATCCAATGTCGGGCGTTTTGAGCGGAACTCATGGGGGCGGGAGCAATGCAATGTGATCAGGAATAGATTCGGGAAGATATTTTAAACAGTGAGTGGAGTACTGGGAAGTACTCTGTAAGTGGAAGTGGAGTCGAGTCTATCAGAAGGTAAAAAACTAAGATCCCATCTATTGCTACCTATATAGGAAGGGGTTCCGAAATGCGATATGCTACAACCGGGTGAGGCTGTGAGATAAGGAATCGGTCCCGAGTAGCGGAAGGATCCGTATAAGTACCGTAACACATGGGAAATGAGATAGGAACATGTTAGTGACATGGGGAACGTAGCTAGTACTCACCAGCGAGGATGGAAGGACATGGACAAGACGTAGGAGGATGTTCCAAAGGCTGAAGGAATATAATGTGTGTGGTACGCGATTGTTCCGCTGGGTTTCGCTTGGTTCCGCTTGGTTCCGTGTAGCGGATGGGTCGGGGAAGATGCGGATGGGTAGTGGAACGCGTGGGAAAATGGTGGGAAGGCATGGGAAATATGCGGGATACAGGCCTACAGTGGGGTCGTTCCCCACACCTGTGGGGGACTCAGATACTGACCGTCCCCGGTCAGCACTATAGTAATTGACAGACTTAGCAGGATTTCTTCTAAAAGAGTCACATGACGTGGCTGTAACAGACCGAGTGGACGGAACGCGGCTGAGGAAGCATGATGATGATGATGTCGCGCGAGAAGTTAATGGAATGATGGAACGGAACGCGATCGAAGAAGCTCAATGGGAATGATGTCGCGCGAGAAGTTAATGGAATGAAGGGTCGGAACGCGACCAAAGAAGTTTGATGGCAATGATGTCGCACAGGACGGAGGAACGAAGGGTCGGAACGCGGCCTAAGAAGTCTGATGGTAATGCTGTCGCACAGGATGATGGAACGATGGGCCGGAACACGACCAAAGAACCGGTTCCTCAATGTAATGGGGAATGAAGGATACACATGGGCGCTCCTTGGATCATCCGCTTCTTTTTGTCAACTTTTCACCCCCAATCGCCCACTAAGTCCCCTCTCACAACTATGTCTTTTAGCTTTGCTGCCTTCACTCCTCCTGCACCCCTCGACTCAGGTAAGGATCGGATCCTCACGGAATGGAAGGAACTGGAGGATAGGGTGATTGCTGAGGCAAAGTGCATTCCGGATGATAAGGAGGAGCTGCAGGAAGAATGGAGGATGTGGTGCGAACGTTGGGCCAATATTATGGTGAGTGATCTGTCTATTCCATTCGATACGGAACATTACCCCTCTGCTTCTAGAGAGCGCTATCTGACTGCACTGACCGGGGCCGCACCCAGAATGTCGTCCTTACAATGTCCGGTGAGGCAAGGGCCGCTGGGCTTGGGGCTAATGAGCAGTACGAACAATGGACTCGTGAATGCAGTGCCCTCGAAGCGCACACAAAGGATCGTGAGTCCCGTGAGGTGCAGATGGGTATTGACTCCCCCCCGCGCGCCCGCACCGGATCCACCCCTGCGCAACCCCCTTCAACGGACGGAACAGGCGGGTCTGCATCCCTCGCCCCCCGGATCAACCGTATGAAGATGGAGGTAGCTATCCCGTCCAAGGTACGTCTATCCCGTTGCCTTGTGTTCAATGGATCCACCTTGTGCGTGTTGTGTGAAGGTAAAGAAGGAGTGTGTAGGTGAGGACAAGCGGTCCTGTAATGGGTGCAACGTGGTTCATCAGAAGTGTGAGTATGCTTCATTCGGAAAGGCGACGGGTATGTGATATGGGTTCTGATTGTGTTCCGGATGGTGCTGACTGAGTGTACAGATAGGCCTTAAGGGCAAGGTATCGGATGCACCCACCCTCTCTGCTAGTGCTAGTGGATCCCTCCGCCGGACCGTCTCGTCTCCCGGTTTGGCTGTTCCGTCTGGCAGTGAGCCGGAAATCGTCGAGGCCCCTGTGAAGCGCGCTACCCGCAACACGCGCAAGGCAGCGGAACCCAAGGGTAAGGGAAAGGGTAAGGCAAAGGAAGTCGTCCCTGCCACCCCTACAGTGGAGGAGTCGTCTGATGAAGTGTCGCACTATGAGAAGGGCAAAATCGCGAAGGTGCAGCATGAGTTGCACATCCTGAAGGGCCAGCTCATCAGCCTCTATGAGTCTGCCTACAAGATCTCCACTGAGGTGGGTCGCTTGGAGAGGCGTCTTGGGGGTCTCCTCTAGTTAGCGGATCCACTCCCCTCCCGTATATACAATGTCTTCGAATATCCGTCGTTATATTTTGTACAATGTATGCATTTTCTTGGTGTTCCGTCTGGGTTCCGCATGGGTTCCGCATGGGTTCCACATGGGTTCCACATGGGTTCCGCATGGGTTCTGCATGGGATCCGTCCTGGGATCCATCCTGGTTCCGTCCGTGTCCCTATCCAGATCCTCACTGATGCTATGGGATAATGGGACTATAAGTAACGTATAAGCAGGTATGAGTCGGGAAGGAGAAATATAACACTGTGAGCCTGCGGACTACGCGTCTGACTTGTCTTCATCGATCTGCTTCATTCCTCTATTCCTCGCCCGCCGTCCGCGGATCCGATGGGCTTTGTCTATTATCGAACGGAACACTTGGGAACTACAAACGTGCATGGTGTGGCTTCATGCGGGAGAAGTAAAACGGGTCCTTGTGGTTTATGCGCACACATATAGTCTAATCGGATCAAATGGCGAATATATAGCGGGAATCTGTAGATATGTAATTTCTTTCTTTTTAGTATGCGGGGTGGATAGAGACGGAACAAAACGGAATGAGAGACGGATCACCAGACGAAACTAGGGGTAAAACAGAGAGTAGTACTTCTATGATATATTTTTGTTTTGACGGTATTTTCTTTTTCTTGGATATAGGATGCGATCGGGTCGGGGGATATTTACTGGTATGAGGGTCAGGTGGTATGGGGATGATGATCATTATGCGCTGGGGTCGGGC